CAACTACTCAGCCCCCGAACAAACTTGCCTCTACTTCCCTAATACTCAGGCTTCCCAGAATGGTCCATCAGGGCGTCACCTCAAGGGTACTGAGAACCACGACTCAATTTAACAGTAAACCAGAGCCAGATTTTCCAACTACAGTTGAAAGAAATAATGTAGAAACATTATTTAGGATTACAGGATTTAGAACAAAGTTTCTAGAATAGGAAATAAACACTCAAAATTGGTCAACACAGATTCAAACTTGGAATAAGAGAAAAATAAAGATAAGAAGTAACCATCAGAAGAGTGAGGGAAACAAGCTGGTTATGGCTACACGCGGCTATCATCTCATCCCTCATGAAGCCGAGGCAGGAGGATCATGAGTTTGAGGCTAGCATAGGTAACATAGCAAGACTACTAAAATCAAGGTGTAAAGCTGATTATCCACGGCCATGTCTGGTTGTTCAGAATCTGAGAAAGGGCAGGGTAGCATTGCCGTAATCAGGTGCTGAGACTAGGGGTGTGGGATGAGGTTGGTGGGGCACAGGACACTCACAATGCTTTACCGCCCCTCCCCCACACACACTGCTCTGCACAGCAAAGCACACTTTAGGCCCAGAACCATGAATTTCTGTTACCTGTAAGAAAGAGATGCAACTCACATATGTTACATAGGTGAACATGTGTCTAGATGGTAAAAACAAACAAAAAAACCCAAACCAAAAAAAACCAAAGACTAGGACCTTCTACCAACACTCCCACTACTGTCCAGAGCAGAGGTCTCCAAGGGGCTGAACTCAAGAAAAATTCACTGAGAAAGTACCATGGGAGGTCTTGGTAGAAGAGGATGGTTTGGGACTGGCTCCAGTGTTTAAGTCATATTTTGGCAAAAATCATGGGAGGGTGTAACTCAGATAAACTTGGAAAATTTTCATAATTGGTTAGGGCTTTTTTAATTTAAAGAAAATACTTATAATTCATTCTGCAACATTTTCACATGTGCACATAAGGCATCTTGTACCTATCAAAGCCAAATATTCTGTTCTAGTCTCTCCACTTCATGTCCTTTGTTTTGTCCTCCACTATTTTATATATTTGTATAATGTGTTCTGGTTACTTTCCATCCACTCCTTATTCCCCTCCCAACCCTGCCAGTTTCCTTCCTTATAAATCTCTTTATCATATCTATTAATTTTTAAAAAAATTACTTAATGCCCCACAGAGTTCAACTAGGTCTTTTTGTGTGATGTTGAATTTGGAACTAAGCATCAGAGCCTGGTGGGCTCAACTGTAGGTAAAACGCTGTCTTTTATGCCCCTACCCTGTTCCAGAGTCTGTTGGTTGTTAATGGGGAGGCAATAACTGAGTTCCTTCCTTCTCTTTAACTATCAGGAAGACCCAAATTGGGTGAACTCCAAGGCAGTAGGTGCAGTAGGTGCAGCTGCTGTTGCCATGGCCATGTTATGCTCAGAAGACGACATTTCACAAACCTGGTCCCTACTTTTTTTTTTAACAATCTTTCTGCTGTAGTTTCTGACTGGGGATGCCCCAGAAGCTCCCAAACAACACAGGTTCTTGCCATTAATCAACAGAACCAGCTAAGATTGCTGAAGACACTATACAGCTTAGATACAAAGCAGAGAAATCAAACTGGAACTGAACTGGAAATATCTTCCCTGCTGGCTAGCTCTCGTTGCAAGAAGGTGACAGGAAGGCGGCTGCAGGGAGAGGAGGGTAAGGGCGTCGATGGTCTTCCCAGCTATTTATTTTATGAACTATACCAACCTGGCAAGATGTGCTTATGGCAGCAATAGTGGCATGACGGTTATGGAGATAACCAACCACTCCATGTTTGGATTTGAGGCCCACTGTACAAGAGGAAACTCTTATCTAGCACTGTAAACACTGTCTAAAACCCACTACCAAAGAGGTTCTAGGCCCTAGAATGTGACCTAAGACTACTGCTTAGCAGAACTAACATATTATCAAACTACTTCCCAAGTACCTTTATGTTTATACCTACACATAGAGGGTACTCTTAGCCTTAAACAGAGAAACCTTTCCTTGCAGTGAAGACAGGCAAATTAGGCAGAACTTGGGAAGTGACATCTGAGTAAAACAATGAAGTGCTCATTGTTCTCCTTAAGAACACGGGGTAGGGCTGGAAGTATAGTTCAGTGAGAAAGCACCCACCTGGCATGCGTAAAGCCTTGGGTTCAAACCCCAGTACTGCAAAACAAAAACCACACTTCATACTTACCTCTTAACAGTTTGAGTTTACTTCATTAATAACTTATTTTCTAATTTATTTAGTCACACAATTTACTCATAAATACACACATGGTTGCATCGGGGATTTACAGCAGAAACAACTAGCTGATTGTTTGAAGCTACTTAGAACATATGTTATAGACTATTATTTTAAGGTGTTACCTTTGTTTATGCTGCATTTGTTTAACTCTGTGAAGCCGTGTTACTAACTCTGCCTGTCTGAAACACTTGATAGTCTAATATTAAAGAGCAAAACAGTCAATAACGAGGCAGGAGGAAGGATAGGCGGGGATGGCAGGTAGAGAGAATAAATGAAGGAGAAATCTTGGAGGAGGAGGAGGAGGAATGAAGAGAGGAGGAGAACTCCAGGGGTCAGCCACCTAGCTACATAGCAAAGCCCAGGAGGAAGAAACAAAGAAAGGTATGCAGGAATAGAGAAATACAAAAGCCCAGAGGCAAAAGGCAGATGGGATAATTTAAAGTTAAGAAAAGCTGACAAGAAACAAGCCTTCATAAGAAAGAATAAGCCTCTGTGTGTGATTTATTTGGGAGTTGGGTGGCAGACCCCACAAAGAGTAAAAATCAAACAACAACAAACATAACTTTTAGTTGTCGTTATCAGTTTTAAATTATGTAAACACTGGCTCGAGGCCGCTGCATAAGGGAATTCTTGCTTGTATGTCCCCAACCATACTAATAACTTCAGAAGGGGCAACAGAAAACATTTCAGACAATGGAAGGCTTCCTTTCTATGTAATCAAAGCCAAGATGGTGTTGAAATTTTTCTTCTGAAAACATTCAGTTGTAAAGGTTTTTATAAAAGCAGCAACAACAATAAAATGAAACTGGTATAAAGCACATCACTTCAGTGAACATCTGTCTCACCAGATCGGATCCTGCAGGAGAACTCTCCTACCTTGACACCACACTGAGGCGGCACTGGCTGGAATGCCTCATTCCCCATCCTCATTCAGGGTAAGTTAAAGCTGTAGGAGACAGTTCCGAAGTGAGTGGATTCCTTACAGTGCTCCCTTGTTTACAGGAACAGAACTTTCCCTGGTGGTAGACTGACACACGAGAAATGATTCCTAGAGCTCATGGCTGTCTAGACCTGGGATGGTGAAACATGCCATCATCTAGCACTGAGGAGTGGAGGCAAGCCCACGGTCATACTCAGGCTATAGAGCTACTTCAAGGCCAGCCTTGGCTACATGAGATCCTGTCTCAGAAACCACAAACACAAAAATCTACTGTAATTTACAGTTAAAGTTGGGAAGTGGTCACATAAGGTGGGCAGGAGCCTGGGGATATATCCTGACCCTCTAGTCAACCATTTGAACCTTTATTCAACCATTTTTTTCTTTACAAAATGAGGTAGGGTAGTAGACTCCCTTCCATTGTTCCTAGTCCAAGAATATTTTGGGACATGCCAAACCCCTACAGCAGCATTCAGACTTAAGGGCACGTGGCCTGTCAATGACTGTATAACACTGAAGGGGAGAGTAGGAAGAAGTTCAGGTGCCAACACGAGTCTTCCAGGTTTTTATTTGCGAAAAAATGTCAATCTATGAATCTGAACTCTGTGGAGGTCACTAACTGTATTTACTTAGACCAAGGGACTATGTAAAATGACTCATATGTGCCATCACACACATTATATAGATTCCAAAATCACGTGTTGGTTTGAACTATCAACTTGGTCAATCCCAAAATTACATTTCTCACAGTCCTCTACCCTGAGGGTTCTAGACTAAGATGGGCTGTAGGCCCTGTTGCTGTGAGACATGGAAGATCAAAGCAAAGGTCTGTTTTCCCCAAAGGCCATCTTGTCCAGCATTGGTAATGGAGGCACTTGGAAATTCCGGTGTCCTTTCTCCTTGCTTCACTCCTGCCTCCTATCTACAAGAGCGCTAACATAGGGAGGCCTGCAGCCTTCCACTAGACCCCTGGCTACAGAGCTACCAGTGGTCACTATGGCAATGGCAGCTTTTCCAATAGCTTCACACTGCTCTTGCAGGCCCTGTGACTTGTATCTCAGACAACTGTCTTCTCGAGTCACAAACCTTCTAGACTGTTACTTCTCCAGCCCTACACAGCTGAGGGCACAATAGCAGCTCTTCTTCCAATTCAACCAGGCCAGACACACACACCTCAAACGAACACTCCCTTTCTACCTACCTACAGAAAGGGGTGGCTATCAGAGGTGCCCCCCCCCAGGTTCTGCATCGTAGGGCTTGAGGGCTTGACCGAGTGTACAAGACATAGATGGTATTAAGAGAAGGAACTTCCAAGTGCACATGGCAGGTGCAGAGTTGTACAGTGGGGGGAAAATTTAACATGGACCTTGATTTAATCATTTCCCTGAGATTGCTCACAGCGATATGAGTTGCCTCTGTGTATTTCTTTCCTCGCTAGGTCACCATCTGTGACTATGTCCAACCTATACCTGTACCTATAGGTTTACTTAGGAGTCTGTAATAATGGTACTCTGGCCCAATACAATCTTGTAATGACAGATGGTGTACATACAATGGGAGAAGCCAGTTTCATCGACACTAACATGCATAGTTCTGTGAAAAGATGACCCGACATTATAAATACTTGGGAATTGACACTGGTGGAAGAACTAATTTCTCAAAAATGACTCTGCTAATGGTGAGGTGACATGCATGCTGAAGCCACCTTTATTCCTAGCTGCAAAGCCAACATTCAGAGTTTGAAAGCAGACACCATGAAGACACAGGTGTGAATTATCTGGTTTATTGCTTTCTTGTTTCTTACTGCAGATTCAATGTTTTTGAACAATAATAATATGCCCCAAATTCAACATTTTAAAACATTCAAATAACAAAATATAAAGTGGAAAGGAGCCCCCCACCTCCTCTAACTGCCCCTGGTGAATCCACCTGGAAGAGAGGCAATGATGGTTTGTGGAGAGAACAGCTCTCCTCTGACCCAAGAGCAGGAGGCAGCCTTAAGGACCACCCTGTCCTTTGGTTTCCCCTTGAAATAGCCAGGAGATCCCAAGTGACCCCAAGGATGGTGGTCCCTCCTTTCACTGAAGGCTTAAAGGCTCTTTTCCTACAAGAAAGCTGCAAAAGGCTTCCTTGGAAAAGGATGGGTGGAGCACAAGGCAGGACCAACTCCAATACTCAGGAGGCTTCCCATGCCCGTGGTTCTTCTCCAAGCCGTTTGTTTATGTTTAAAAAGTAAAAAGCTTGTTGCACACAGGTGATGCTCTACATAGGACCATCTGGAAGCAGGTGACTGTGAGCGGCACTCTGCCTGAAGGCACAGGGTCCTCGCCATCCCAAGGGAGGGGTCACTGTGTTTTGAGTGCTTTTTAAAACATACGCCCTACCTCCCAACAACTGTCAGCTGCCACACAGGTGACTGCAATTTCAGCCGGGTTTCTTCTGCAATGTTTCAGCATCTTGGGAGCCCCTTGAAATCTTGATGTGCTCTGTTCCTTCTATGAGGAATCCAATTCCCAAGGGGTCAAGACTCAAAGGAAGACATGGCTGTGGTACATCATTCAATAGACAAAAATAAATAAGTGACCCTATAGTGTGGATATGAAACTCACAAATAAATATCTCAGACCCCACAGCTGCAGTCACACACTAGCAAGAACAGGGAGTCTAAAAACTGTGATTTCCTTATGAAACATTTATCTACCATGACTTAAAAGGATGAGTAAAAAACATTAAAACACCGTGTGAAAGACGAGCTTCTTCAGTACCTCTGGGAGTGACAGTGAGTCAGTGACGATCAATGCATCCAACTTAAATAAACCTCTCTCAGTCCTTCCCGGGGCCACCTCAGGCTACCCACTGCACCTCACGGTGACACCAAGGACATGGCCGCAGCAACCTTTCCTTACAGACTGACAAGGGTCACACTTTTGCCTGAGGAATTATTTCAAGTCCTTCTTGATTCTGAAACAACTGGTGTCATGAATCTTCTCAAACAATGTGCCTCTGAAGGAGGAGGAAACAGAAAGGTACATTTATTCACGTCCATGCTGTCTAAAGCTACAACAACCAGGACTGAAAAGGGGATGAATTTGAACTGAAAACAACAAAAACTCTGGGACTTTTGCCCTCCCAACTCCAAGTCTGAGCTCGAAAGCATCTGTGGGCTGGCGAGCCAGTTTCCTCCCTGAGGAGTCCTCTCTTCGCTGCCTCCAGCTCCTGTCTCTCCCGGTTAAGGCTTGGACAGTGTTAGCGGTGTGCAATCTCTCGCGGAAGCTGTCAGTCACCGGTAGGTTCCGGCTGGGTACAGTCCGGCTCCTGAGTGCTGGGCTGGGCACTTTGCCTTCGAAGATCCTCCACCATCTGCAGCAGGGCGGAGCGCTCCAGCTCCAGGGTCAGCACAGACTGCTTCAGCTTGCTCTCGCTGGTTAGAAGCTTCTCCACCGTGGCTTCAAGGCTTTGGATCTTAGCATTTGCCACCTGGAGAACGGAAGGAGAAATGAGAATGTACCTGCCTGTGATTACACAAGAGGGGGTTGCAGTGAACGCCACCACTCAGCCTTGGGGGGTTTTGGGGCACTTGGCAAAAACAAGTCTATTGATGATTAGTTCTGGTTGCACAAGAACTGTCCCAGCTTCCGCTGCAGGCAGGCTGGGCCCTTCCAAACACTGACATTCTCCTGCATCCTCTTGCCTGGTGTGGCCCTGCTGGGGACCAGGGATTGAGAAAACAGCATCAAAGAAGAGAGGGAACTGGACCCCCAATCTCTATCCTATGGCCTGTCACACATAGGATGCTGTTACAGGCCAGTTGGAAGTCACAGCATGGCCTACTCTAGCTAACCATGTACCTACATGTACAATTTGATCTCACATTCACAAACGGTCAAGTGGCTTCTACATGATGGTCCACTTGTAACAGGGACAACTCTCTAACCTTGCATCTGTTTTTCTTATTTTTTTGTGGAGTAATAAGACATCACTATAGGAAACTAGGCATTTTCCTTGAGACGCAGAATGCCAGAAACAGTAGAATTCTACTGAGAAGTTTCTCTGTACTGTTGTTTACTGGCCACCACCAGCCTCGTAAAGGAACAAGCCCCATCTCTCTTGGGGACAAATCATTTTCTTAGGTCGCATCCTTAGGATGTACCAGGCCAGAGAAGGGCTTCATCACCCCTAGCTCCCGCCTCTTGTCCACCAGGGCAGGCACCCCGGGGTGTTCGGCTCCAGTGACCCGAGGGTACTGAAGCAATACTGCGGTTTATACTCCAGGTCTCGGAGCCTGCTCCTCAGTGCCCAGCTGAGTTTATGGCACTCTGGACACTAAGGGCGGCCTATCTTATTAGTCCAGCCCAGCCCCTTTGTGTGTCCCATCTATTTAGTCAGGGAAAATAACACATCTATTTCTCCACCTCATTTTCAAAACTGGGAAAATTGTCTTTTGAACAAGACAACCCTCATGCTAGACAGAAAAACCTGTGACTCCAAGTCTAGCTCCTGCCACATCACTAAAATCCTGAAAACCAAAGAAGAAAAAGGCTAGGAGGTGCAACTCATCAGGTTCAGGGAGGGGATGGGGATGCTGGGTGCATATCCTTAAGTAGTAAGTCCTCTTACCCAGTCCTCCCTAAAATCCTGCCCACTGTCCATGCCTGGGCCTGGCCCATCTCTGTTCTGAGGGACAGGTAACTCAGGGAGTACTACCTAATTCACAGTCATACACAGTAGTGAACCAATTTGCACGATGGTTTACCAATGGCACAGATGGCAGGTCTCCTCAGCAGACTTAAGAAAGCATGTCTGATCTCTCTCAAGATCTGGTCCCCACAGGCCCTTCAGTTGGGAACTACTTGTAGCTAGCTAATCACTAGGAAAAGGCCTTTCTACCTGCCACCACCCAGAACACAAAATCGTCTTATGTACAGCTAGTGAACAGCAGGTTCAAGAGTTTCAGTTGTGACAGCGCTTTGTTTTTAAGCCAACCTATTTTTACTGCATGTGTTTATTTTAAATGCATAAACTGTATGCTAACCTATGAACATTAAAGTTTAGTACGCAGAGAAAATTTTAGAAATATCTCAAGTATTTACAAATAAACCTGTAATAGCATTTCAAATTTTGAAAAAAATATTATTTCTAGTCTGCTAATTTCGATGACATTCTATACATTAACCTAATTTTGGCATTTATAGTTTGAGAATCTATTAAATGTCAGAAATAATTTCTGGCAATAATCTATGATCACTATTCCTCTCTCTATATATTTACACACACTTGAATAACTTGCACTACTTAAAAAGTTAAAAATACCTTTCAATGCATGTACACTCAACCTTCAAGGTACTTGATGAAGAGACAATAGAACACGGAAAAACTAGCACAAGTTGTTTGATATTTACCTCACAGCAACAGCTACTACTGATATTTTATTGTGCAGTCTTTCATATTCTTTTTTTTCTTAGAATACCCAAATATCATACTTTTAAAGAAAAGCACACCACACAGTTTAGTAATTTTTCTTTACTTTTAACTTATGATTGCCTGGCCTTAGCTTGGCTTGTTTCTAGCCAGCTTTTCTAACTTAAATTATCTCATTTCTCTTTAACTACATTTTTGCCTCTGGGCTCTTTACCTTATTCTATGTATCTTTCTTTCCTTCTTACTCCATGGCTGGCTATATGGCTGGGTGGTTGGCCCCTGGCATCCCAATCTCTCCTCTTCTCTTCTCTAGATTTATTCTCCTGTTTATTTAGTAATTTGTTTTTCTACATCATGAACATACTCAACACACTCAAAAACGATGGATAAATGTTCCGTATTTTGAAGAGTCCAACACAACTGTGAACATCATGCTGTTCCCAGTTTTATTTTGTCTACCATGCCTCTTCTGTACAGACCCTTATAAGCTTGAATGCCTCCTTAAGGCATGTGGGGCCAATGCCATTCATTTGAGATTTTATTCGACACTGCTTAAGGCTGCAGAAAAGACAGTAGTATTTGCTCACAGTAATGGAGGACAGTCTAACTTTCCTATGCAGTCCCTTTGACTGTAGTCTTTGTAACCTAAATTTTAAGAGCTGTAATTGTCAATATATAGTAAGTGTCTGTGTTAACAGGCCTCCCCGTGACATTTCCACACAAGCATATATTGTGCTGTGTCCACCCTCCCAGCTGCTCCCCTTCCTCACTACTCCCATCCTCCCCTTTCATGCCCACCCGTTAGGTCATCTATTTTAGTTTTTACTCCAGCATTCTTTCCCCACATGAGAACAGACAGGCACACTGTATATTCCTCTTTCTGTGCCACTCACGTTTTCTTAAGTGTTTACAAGACAGATAAATAGGACTTTGGTCTGTCTGTCAATTGTATGAACAGAGCCAAGCTACAAACCAGGTAAATTTTGATACTCAAGGAAAAAAAAGTATCTACTTCAAGATCATATTGAAACCTTCTTATATGAAAAGCATGAGATACATATGGGAAATATAACTTCCAGAGACGATCATGGAAAACTACCTCTACTAAACCAGCACAGGGCCCCGACTATACAACACCCCAAACCCTTGCCTGCATTTCTGAGAAGAGTGTTCCATTTAACTTGTGCCCAGGCCAGCCCATCACAGGCTCAGTAACTTCAGTGGGCTAGCAACACCTGCAACCTTGATTAAGACTCTTCTAGAACCACTTGGTCCACAGAAGGGGTATGCAGGAGATTCCTGTGACCACCCACAAGTCACCATGGATGCCTTTTCTTCAGCATGTAGATTTCTCAGCAGCGTTTCACAGCTCCATCCCCTTAGACAAGGGCAGTATATAACTGCTTTCAGAACTCCAAAGAGTAACACAGGCATTGGCCTAAGAAATGAAATTAGTACGTGCTAGTTGTGAGCAGAGTGCGTCACCATGCATAGGTAGCTCAGTGGGAGGTACTCCCTCCAAGGCCCACGTCAGGGGTCCACTGCTGGCTTGCAGCCACTGGAAATGTCCAGCGCACAGTGTGCCCTGTGTGCTATTTATCCTGCGGCTCTTTTCTGTCCTCACCTGCATTTATCCACTTACGACGGAAGGTTCTAGAGAGAAGAACTGTGTCCCTCAATAAACAAATCTCTGCATTTGTACCAGATAGTATATAATAACTATCATATGTTCTGGTTTATTCTGCTAGATAGACTTTTTTTTTGTCACTTCCCTCCTTTAATATCTCTCCAAGGACCTGGCTTGTTTCGCCCCCAGGCGATGAAAGCTCGAGACTGTCTCATCATTATTCAAAGCACAATTGCCGGCATTCAGCATCCGGGACCAAGCTAAGTGCAGAAAAAGCCTCTTCAAAAGCTCCAGGACTGTCTGACCTTAGCAAGGACGGTCTGTCTGCTTCACAATAAAAGGGCCGATTGATTCTCCTGGGACACCTCTGATGGCAACTACAAACAGTGCAGGGTGGGAAAGGTCCTCTGGTCATGGGAAAGTCCAGGCGGCTGCTGCTTTGGTGAGTTAATGAGCTACTAGACACAGAGGCTCAGGAAGCTGCTTTGCAAATATGCCCTACCTGCAATTGTTCCAGGAGGTCAAGGTTCTGTTTGCGTAAGCTGCTGTTGGTCTTCTCCAATTTATCCATTCTTTGGTTGTCACTGAGAGGAGAGGAATCGATAAGTTCTTCTTGGAGCACATGGTACTCAACCTCGTAGGCTTGTAGCTGTTTGGCGATGTCCATCTCAAACACCTGTTAGATACAGAAGAGAGTCCTCAGGCTCCAAAACTAAGACAAGCGCCCACACGCACAGGCACCTGTGTACATGTGTGCTCATGCCAATGCGCATCTACCATTCCTCCATGCTTAGCAGCGTGATTGTAACACACATGAAAGAAACGTTGTGATTTTACATAGGGAGGATAATAACAAACGTCTAGAAATAATTCCAAAGCATAAAAGCAGTGTGAGTTCTGGTACTCTTTTTCTAACTGCCCTCCCCCCAAGCTTTATGAAACTTTCAAGGGGCTGCTCTCCTAGAGATCCGATTCTGACTTTTAGCACCCATGTGGTGGCTCTTAGCCATAGCTGTCTATCCTGAGGCATCTGATGCCCTCTTCTGGTCTCCACAGGTACCAGGCACTCAGGTGGCATGCATGCACACATACACATAGACAAAACACCCGTACATATAAGTAAACAAACAAAACAAACCTGAACAAGACTTTCAAAAACTTTAGTTGCTGCATGTTTTCTATGCAAATTCTATTAAATACACGACTATGGGTTAAAAGGTGACAAAAGAATCGTGTCCTATTTGCACAGTCACCAAGTCCAAGTTTAGTTACAATCCAGCTGGGTTTTCAGAGTTCCAAGAATGACCAAGTAATGGAACCATTAGTGAAAAAGTCCTCTTGACAGAGATATGCAGAAATGAGCCAACCCCAATTGTCACCCGCACGGATGAGTGAACATAGAACAATGTCTGAGCTGTCTCTCCCCCAACAGCAACGGTGGTGACAGAGCCACACGTGTGAAACAATCCCGAAGTGCAGAAGTGACTCAAGTGGCAGTGCCTGTCTTTTCTCCCGATGAGGAAGTGACATGGCCGTAGTGAGGTCAGAAGTGCAGCCCCTTCTCTGTGGATAAGGTAACCCTGCAGGCTGAAGCCACTCGGCATAGGACCCTATGCTACTTTTCTTGTTGCTGTGACAAATGCTCAACAAAAGTAACAAAGAACAAAAGGGTTATTTTGGCTCAGTCCAAGAGTGCTGAGTCCTCTGTGGAGGCAGGAGCATGAGGTGGCCGGTCACAGTGCACCCACGGCCAGGAAGCAGAGACGGGTGCCGCTGCTCGGCTCACACCTCCTTTCTATTCAGTTCGTACCCCAGCTCTTGGGAGGGCGCTGCCCACATTTAGGGCCAATCTCTCACCTTAATTAATTAATCTGGACACTCCATCAGGCAAGCCCTGAGGTTTGTCCCCTAGGTAATTCTATCTTGTCAAGCTGACAGTCAGTAGTAACGTCATAGCCCTCATGGTGGATCTGGCAGCTACAACCTTCCAGAATAAGACTGTTGGTCCAGAACACTCGTCTGAGGATGAAGTCAAGGCTTCTGAAGGGTTGGAGCAGTTCCTAATTAATGAAACAACACCCCAAAGCCTTGGAAAGCCAGCTTTCCCTGAGGGTACCCTACAAGCACTGAGCTGTCTTCCTCTTTCTCCCCATTCCCAATTGTCTTGCTTTTCTCTTTGAGATGAAAATTCCAGCTTCCTAGTTTTTCAGGTTAACTCGGGGATTAATACTAAGTAGATTCAAAAGTCATTCTGTAGCTACTAAGTCACGTGCTATCTGCATCTGCCTGCTTTTCCTTTTGTTCCCGAGAGTGACTAAGCTCAGTGGGGACCACCATCCCAATTCATATCCCTGGTGGCTGGCCCAGGCTGTGAGTCAACTTTGACACTGGGGATCCATGGGCAACCTCTGAATGACCTTAAACAACTCACTCACCTCTCCTGGCCTTAGCTCCATGTGGGGTAGTAACACGTACCTCCCTGCACTGAGCTCAGAATGAAGAGACTGCTCACAAAAGTTCCCAGCGCATGCCTGGAAGGCTCTTGTCTTAGCTGGAGTCTTTTCACACTTGTCAGAAACCTTCGGATTTTAACCTCATGTCTCAACAGAACTACAATGGATGCTCATCTAGGGCTTCTGAGCAGTCCGAGAAGGGCAAGAACCATGGCCGTGAACCCCTCGACTGCTATAGCACGCATGTGTAATCACTAATGTGGTGCACACACACATCGCTTTTGGAGATCCTTTCCTGTCCTGGGAACGTTAGCAACAAAGCCCCTGGCCTCTTCTACAGACTGATCACAGGCTATGCCCCCTTCTGGGCCTCGATGAATTCCTAATTACTATCCTGGGTCCCCGATGTCTCGGTTTCATTGCAGCATCACCGGGCTGGTCAGAACACAGTCCATGACTGCAGTTGTATGCCAGGAATGGTCCAAACCACGCAGCCTGTCTGGGGGTGCGAGTCCTGCGCCCCGAGTAGCATGTGTAACTCTTGGGCCAATGACTTGGAAAGGGACTGAAGAATGAACAATGGCAGGAAGTGCCTTTTACTTTTACATACTTAGGAGGCACAAGTGACTGACTTATGCTAGTTCTTAGCAAAAAACAAAACAAAACAAAAAACCCAGGAAGGCCTAAGATGAAGGCCTGACTCCATAGTGGTATCTCAGAGAAGCAGTCAATGAACTGAAAAGGGGGATAGTAGGCACTGTGTGTCAACTGGAAAAATCAACATGCACTCACTTTCTAGACAAACGACAGATTCTCCCCACTGAGCCTTCTATAAGCCATTCACTGAGCATGCTCACTCCACAAAGCACAGCTGTAGTCGCCTTTCTTCTGGGTCATCCCAGGCCCTACTTGAGCTCTTGCCTTCCCCTACCCTGCCTGCCCCTTAGTTTCCCCAAGGTTTTCGGGAAAGTTCCAGAACTTTAGTGCTGAACAGAGCGTTTTCTTCTGTTTGTCAAAGCAGGGATTATTCATTTCCTTATGTTCAGTGTTTTGTCAAAAACACACACCATCAGTTTTGTTGCTGAAACAAGAAAACTACAATGCAGGAAGCATGGAAAGTAAAAATTACCAGTGCAGATACTTTCTTTCATCTTTACTATTATAACCATATTTTTCTAATTGTAAACAAAACTCACATCAAATATGTCACCCACTCATCTTTTTCATTCAATTTTATGTTCTAAGGGCTTTCTCATGTGGTACCATGTTCACCATAACCACCAACATAAATGGCTTCATGGTTCTTTGCCAACTCAGCATACCATCAGCCCATTCAGTAAATGCTGGACATCTTGATACTTCCAATTTTTTGTTATTACAAATGACAACTCTAAGAAAATTTCTTTATACACAGGGCTTTCCTAGTGTTCTGAACCAATTCCTTAGGATGCATTCCAATAGTTGGGATTCTGGCACCAGAGAGGTCTGAATGTTTTATTGGCGCGAGGTGCTCACTGCCAAACCACCTCCCATGTAGGAGCAATCAAGACAGAGTACCACCAGCATGTACTGAGGGGCTGGATGCTGCATGCCCTTGGCACTGCATACAGGTATTAAAAAGTCGGCTTGTTAATCCAGCAGGGAAGGCATTATATGTTATGCAGAAATTTAAATTATGCATGAAGCTAAATATTTCCCCAGATATGCGTCTGCTAGAAGGCTCTCCTTGTATGTTTGTGTTCTTGGCTCATTTGCTATTGAAGACTCCATGTTTCTCTTTGCAGTCTCTGAACACGGTATGAGGAAGGTACTGACTGGGTGACTGGTGGCAGAATTAGCCACATACTTTTGACTTTCCTAACTTCTAGATCCTTCCCCCAATCTGTTGGTTTCAGTAGCTATTAGGGCAGGACAGTGGGGCAGTCTGCCTGGGTATCTGTAACAAGGAGGCACATTGTCTATATATAGTAAATTTAAAAACAACAATAAAGCTAACTAATAGTCAATCTGATTTTAATTATCACAGCATGTGGCAGTGGTAAAACACTTGTCCCCAAGGCACTCCACCCTCTGAGTGAGCCTGTCTTTTTAGCAACTACTCATTTCAACCAGTGCAGTGGCTCGTGCAAGGGTAAGGGGCCACCCCGCTGCAGTAACCTCCTCTGAACACAGGAGCTTTGTGAAGATTGGTCTCTGCCCCACGAGGTCAGGTAGAACTGGGACCATCTCTTAATAAACACTGCTCGTGGCACAGCTTCCCTGTGGTCTTGTGGAGCCCATAACCCTGCAGATTCCTGAGTTAGCAGTTCTGGGGTGGGCCCCAGATTCCACCTTTCTAACAAGTCCTTACATGACCAGACAGGGCTGGTCTAGGAACACAGTGCTGGTCCTGGCCTGCAGTGCAAAGACTAAACCAGGCTGCCAGAGGCTGCAGCCTGCCTCTCAAAGCAGCCCTTTGACTTTCCTACTGTGACATGAATCGAGGTTTCAGAGTCACAGTCACATTACCGACAGTTACTTTATACTGATAATTCCCAGAGGGCCCTCTTTCTAGGTAAGAAGGTGCTTATGGCCTTCTGCATCTGACAACTGTGGTGAGGTCACACTGAGGAAGGAGAGTGGCTCCAGAGACCCTGGCTCCTGGACAGTCACCCTTGGAAACGCTTCTGATGCTGCTCAGAACGAGCCAACTAAGCCAGGGCTCTGGAACCTGTTCCCAGACACTTATCCAGGAGCCGGGCTGGGTCCCAGTTGCTCAAATAGTCTACAAACCATCTAATACCGTCAGAGAGGACTGCCTGTCCATACACAGGGCTCCGTGCTCTGTCTTATCCAATGGCTGCACCCATCACTTCCACGTGAGGACTTCTCAGGTTTGAAGATAGGAGTTCCTCTGGCTTCTGAGTAAACGTGCTGCATGCCTCACAATTGCTCTCTAGTCTCTGGGTCAAGACTTAACCGCCCTCTGGCGGGGAAGGGGCAGCAAGCCTGAGTTTTCAGAGGTCATACTGAAACACGAGCGAGAAGGAGGGCAGAGAGCTGCCTGCACTCTTACCCGTTTTCCATCAAGACTATTCCTGGAATGAGAACCTGGGGTCCAAATGTCAATCTCACCCACACCCTCATTACCTCACCACAACACTCAACACATCTGGCACTGGAACGAACTACTCTCCATTCTCTTTCTGCGCCTCTGGCATGTGGCTCAGCAAACTACAGCCTGGTTTTATAGCATTCTACTGCAACATGGCTACTTCATCCCTTTACCTGCTGCAAAGGCAGAGATGGGGAACTGAGCAGAGGCCTTCTGAGCCCCTTAAAAGCAGAAATCTAAAACACTCTTATCCAGCCTCCACACAAAATGCTGGCCCTCCAGAATCATCTCATTCTTCTATGCCCTGGTGGGAGAAACTATGTCAACTCCAACACTCAATAACCGGCAACCTGTGGTCTCCCCTACTTAGGCATATGAGGTGCTGGACCTGCCTAAGCTCACTGAAAATGGAAACTGGAATGCCATGACCTAGACCTGCTAAGGAGTCTGGGGAGCAATGCATGCCAAGTTCAGAGCAGTTGCCTGAACCAACTCAGGTACACAGATAACCCCCCCTTGCTGAGACATCCTAAGCTTCTGGTATTGAGAGGGTACCTGATGAGTACTAGAGTGTTTGCTACTGCCAATAAGTATAGTTCTTCACAGAAAAGGAGGGGAAAAAAAACAAATAACAAAAGCTCATTATTCCCCACCTTCTCTGAGGCTGTGTACTCAAGGGATGGATTGATGACCCACCTTGGAGCTGGGACAAGGCTAGAAATCAGCACTCATGACACAGACTCCATCTAGGAAGCCAAGGCTCTGGGCCTACCTCAGACACATTGAGTACATTCCACAACAACTGTAAGAAGGGATCAAATTAGTGTGAACATCAGAAATTAAGACAATCAAGAGTTTACCCTGTATTAAGACTCAAATACAATCTTGAGATGTGGTATGGGCTGAAGAACTCTGAGGTGAGAGGCATCTGAAACCTCCCCTCTCCCTCCGCAGCAGAGTGAGTGTGGGCCAGCTAATTAATCACTCTCTGTCCTCAGGAATGTGGTCACGACTGCATGAAGTCATGTGTATATACAGATCCCTTAGGGCGTGGCAGAAAGGATGGACTCAGCAAGCCAAATCGATCCACACTGAGCAACTGGGCCAGGCAGGTAAGACCCGGAGCCAGCCAGTTAGCCAGAGATAAGAGCAGAGTGGACAAGAACCCCTCCTCATCGGCATGTGCAGAGTGCAGAGATGCACGGTCACGGGCACAGGGAGTCCTTGCCCTTGGCCAGATCGGCATCTTTTTAGTACTTAACCCAAGGTAGAAGAACCAAAGAGGCTGCATCTGGCTGCAGTTCACTGGATTCTCCTGAGCTATCTGGTGAATGATCACAAGTTCTTACATAAGTATTTACTTAAAAAAAAAAAACCTTATTTCACCATCTGTGTTTAAATGACTGATCTAGATTGTTATCCACAGAACATGTTCTACGCACAGGCAAGCTGACTGCTGACTCTGCAGTGAGATCCAATGATGAAACCCCTTCCAGTACATTCTGTGTGATGGTTTATTTTGCTTGTTAATGTGCCCGCATTGAGAGATGCCAGGTGATTAGCAGAGCCAGGTTCTGGGTGTGTCTGTGCAGGTATTTCTGTAGATGACTTGTGTGTGTCAGAACAACTCGGGGAGGAAGACTTGCCGTAAATTCTAGCAGTACCATCCAAGAGGCCGGGGCCCAGTCACACACAAGCAAAAGGAGGAAGCCTTTACTCTTAGCCCATGGGAGACAAATACAAGCAGCTCTCTGCGATGATGCCAGGCTGGTCTACATAAGTGAATTCCAAGACAGCCAGGGCTACACAGTGAGACCCTATGAAAGGAGGGTGTGTGTGTGGGGGGGGGGGAAGAGCAGCCTACAAGCCAGCTAAGTTCTGTTGCTCCTGCACAAGTGTAGCTACTGCTGCCGCCACCCACTACAGACACCAAATTCTTGCTCCTTCTGCCTTCAACCCACAGTTCTCAGACCTTCTGCTAGGACTAGGAGTAGGACTGCATCATTGGTTTCCCTGAGACTTCTGGTTTTGGGAACTGAACAGCTAGTAGAGTCTCTGGCTCAAAGGTATGGAGATGGCAATTAAACCACCTAGGCTCCAAATGCAAGGCAATTTGATAGCCTCACTCATAATTATGACACAGTCTATTGGTTCTGTTACTGTAGAGAAGTCTGATTAATACACTCAGCCACACAGCCCCTGGACACCCTAAGTATCTTGATTCTTCATCATTAGCAATCATTACCAGAAAAGTTTTTGCTCTATAGAACTGAAACTGACTTCATGATCTGCTCTAATGGTAATTCCCAGCTGAATCCATGTAAAATGCTCACCATTTCAGAGTAATGGTTCTATTGAATATGGAAGCTAGAGATGCAAAAACCTTCCAATTGTAACAACAGAACAGCAAAAGAATGACATAGAGAGATTTCATAAAATCAATCTCCTACTGATTACAGAAAGTCATTTCTGAACATTCAATCAGTACCACTGAGAAGACAAATCAAAGAGGCCCGCATTTCAGAAGAACACAGACCAGCATGGAAGCTTCTTACATGCAATGAATACTGATGGCTCCTCCGTGTCATCACACCTGGCTTCCTGGTGTCTTTTGCCATTAACACAAACAACATACACACGCAGTCACACATTTCATCTTTTGATTGGCATCTGTGATGTGCCTTCCACAGGCTGCTCCTCCTCAGGGAGTGGCACTCCAGCCCCAACAGCATTGGGAAGGCCTAGAGCAATCCCTACCTGGTTAATGGTCTTCTCCATCTGCACCAAGCCCAGGTTGGGCAGTGTGTTCTTTATGAAGTCCACTATGGTTTCCAGGTTCTCATGCTGCAGAATTAAGGGCTTATGGCTTCCCAAAAGACTTAAGGCCACTTTAAATATGACCTCTGACCCCTGAAGGAAGATCATATCTAAGAAGACACAGAAACGCAGAGTTAAGCCCGGCCAGCTCCTGACGAAATACCACTCTTTTTCTCTTCCTTACACCACGGAGTAAAGGGTGGGAAGTTTAACCCAAGTTACAGATTTGGCTATTTCCGACAGAGTTGTCAAGACAATATTGCAAACAATAATTAAAAACAACAGATAAATATATGGCTTAGGTTTTTGTCACAGATTCAGATAAAAAATTTTCTACTCTGAAAAAGAAAAACAAATTCAAAAGAACTTTAAAAGTTGAGAAAAGTTTTATTAATTTATGGTATTTTCTATAGATGCTCTCTATTTTAAAGGAGTCACCAAAACATGCTTTAAAAACACAGCTTTAATTTGCGCGTGTGCACGCACGTATGCACACACGTGGAATGAGCACATCTATACACCCATATTCACTCAGAGGGCAGGAAAGGGTATCTTGTCCTCCTCTACTCCCTACATAGTCCTTTGAGAAAGGGTCTCTCCCTGAACCCAAGGCTCATGTTTTCCCATCTAGGCTGGCAGCCAGCATGAGAATACTCCTTCTCTAGTCCTAATCAGGACTGGAGTTTCAAGCATGTATGGGATACCCAGCTTATTTCTCTGGGCATCACAGCTGTGTAACAAGAGCTTTTAACCACTGGCCCATCTCTCCAGTCACTAAAAAATGTTTTCAATTAGTAAAGCCAAAAGACTCTTGTAGATGGGAAATTATATTTTAAAATAAAAAGATGGAATGAAAAGATGCTTAAAGTTTTTAACAGGCCTACAAAATTTCAAAAGCACATTGAACTTCATCATAATAATGGAGCCAAGAACCATTCTTCTGTCTGAGGAGTTTTAAGTCCGGTCAGGCTACTCTCCAGTTCTGGCTATGTTTTCTCATAATGGTTGGCAAACCACAGCAACTCCTACACTGAATTTATACAACTGGACGAGGCAGGCAAGTGGACAAGGCAACAGCTGAGCAGCCATCCCCCAGGTCTCCCCTCTTCTCCTGGAGTTGGAGCCAGTACAGAATGAGAATCAGTGCCCTGGGCTAAAACCACAGAGAAGAAAACTGGTTACTGGGTGACTCTACCCAGGCAAGTTTGACCTAGTGACTGGAAAAGAGTTAAAAAAGAAAAGAAGACAAAACAAAAGGAAGAAGTAAAAACAAAAATATAAATACAGCTGGGGCCAGCCAATACCAATCTCTCCCTCTCTGATAGCCCCTCCCTGTTGGCTGCAACAAAGTGGGAAGGGTTAAGAAACGGCAGCGTCCAACCACAGAAAGCCAGGCAAACAGAGGAAGAGTAGCTGAGATGCCTCTCCACGTGGCTCAGAACGACAGTACGCAAAAGCTGTTCCCAAGCTGGAACATAAAGGCTGGGCACTGCTGCAGAGGTGGGAAACCGAGTCAGGGCAGTATCTGGACAAGGCACAGGGCGGGAGGATGACGGGTCAGTATGCCTCCTCAGCAGCCGGCTCTCCGGATGCTCTGAAACTTTCATCAAGTCATTGGCCATGTGAATGCAGATGGTGCCGATGAGGACGGCCTGTGCTGGGAAACGAGGGCACCAGTGCAGCCTGAGGATTGCTGGCCACGTGGGGGACCCTCAGCTACTGAAAACACCACACCTGCTCAGGGCTCGGGGTGGCCCTAGCAATGGGATGACCTGCTTCCTTCTTAGGGTTGGCTGTTGAGACTCAGACAATAACTTCAAGATCTGAGTGGCTTAGAGGAAGTACACCCACACCAAGGCAGTGTCTCTGGAGAGTCCCGTGACATGCTTAGTTTGTGGAATATACACTCACATATAAATCTCACCGCTTCAGGAAATGAGAAGATGGAGAATAGTGTTACAAGATAGGTAGGTTTATTCGTTTATTTATGTGCGTGCATGCGTGTGTGTGTGTGTGTGTGTGTGTGTGTGCGCGCGCGCGCACGCGTGCAAGCACCAGAAGAGGGCGTCAGATCCACTGGAGCCAAGTTGCAGGTGGCTGTGAGCTGCCTGAGGTGGGGGCTGGGAGCTGAACTCAGGCCCTCTGGAAAGCACTACGCTCTCACCACTGCTGAGCTATCTGTCCAGCTCTTATAAGATGTATTTTAAACAGAAATATTTTGTAAAAATCAAACAAAATGATGACGTTTTTATGTACCCTGAAAAACTTTAGACCTAATTTTTTTGGCCCCCCCCTTTTTTTTTTGAGACACGGTTTCCTCTGTATTGCTTTGGAGCCTGTCCTGGCACCTGACACTCACTCTGTAGACCAGGCTGGCCTCAAACTCAGATATCCACCTACCTGTCTCTGCCTCCCGAGTGTCAGGATTAAAGGTGTGTGCCACCAACCTAATTTTTAAGTAACTGGAAAAAATGTTACCTATAATCCACACCCACCGTGCCAGGCCATCTATTTCTATCTTGTTCATCTTCCCATCCTCACACATCTGCATTCAGGAATTTAAAAAATCAACGATGCTAACTGTTCTTGGAGAGCCTCTGCAGGCAAAGAGACTGCTGGGGGGGGGGGTGGTCCCTGCACCCACACTGTGGCACAGCTGCCCATTTCCTTCTTCCCTTTGTCTCTGCATTTTCAAGCCATTCAGAAATAGGCATGAAATAGATGGCACCTTAAGTTCAGCTGATCCCGCCACACCGCATTTTACCTGCAGAGAACAACACAAATAACAACTTTCCCTTCGGCGACATTCCCACAGCCCTGTGCTCCAGCATACCTGGGACCTCTGATTATGACCCCACGATTGGCCAGTGCGATTTCCCTTGGTGACCTCATTCGGAATCACTCTTCCAGCCACGTGACTCTATCCAGGGCAGGGCAACCCCACCCTCCCCTTAACTGTCTCCTAGGAGGCTGCAATCCTGTGGTCATGCAGCCTCTACCTTCCTATCACAAATGTGACAAGCACCGTTCAGGCAGATTTTGCAAAAACACACTGTTGCTACTGTGTTACACTGCTCACAGAGCCCATGGTTCCCTGGACAACTCATTTCCTACTCTATTTTCACCCTAAGGCATCTTCAATGCCCTGTCGAGCCCTCAGTTGTATGTTCCACTTAATCGCCTCAGCAGGGCATCCTATAGGACACCAGGAGCCCACCCTGCAGCTCGGAAGCCAGCTCCTGTTTACCCAAAGGTAGTTGTGGTCAGAAGGAGAGCGAGCATTTCTTCCCTATGTTTATGTGCCTGTGTGTGGTTATGTGCATGTGTGTGCTGGTGCCTGTGAAGGCCACAAGAGGGCGCCAGATCCACTGGGCTGGAGTTCCAGGTGGCTGTGAGATGCCTGATGTGGGTGCTGGGAGCTGGACTTGGGTCCTCTGCAGGAGTGGCATGTCTTCAGAAGGAGCACGACTTTCTTCCCAGGTGCCTGCTCCACTCATACTGAACTGTACAGCCGTGGTCCATGATAGAAGACTGACATCCAGCCCAGTATGAGCCACCATGAGGTCAAGGCACACACTGAGGACAGCTGCCCTCTCAAGCTGCATGTCCTCCTTCCGAGGTGACCTATTAATTAATATGGGAGCGATGCTGGTGCAAGGGACTCTTTTTGCACTTATTTATTTATTTAATGCATTTGTATGTGTGCCACGGCACCACTCATGGGAAGGTCAGAGACAACTTGCAGGAGTCAGTTTTCTCCTTCCTCCATGTGGGCTCTGGGATTGAACTCATGTCATCAGGTTGGGTGGCAAAACCCATTGCTGCTGAGTCATCTTGCTGACCTCGCAAACTGGAAATTTGCTCATTCTTCTCATGTATAAAATAGAGACATATCAACAAAGGTTCAATTGTTTTAAGATTTATCCAGATTTAAAGGCTTATCACGGAAAGGTGCTAGGCCAGAAAGCTCAAAGAGCCCAAATGGCAGGACTATGGAACTTAACTCCTGACCAGTGCGGAACTCAGCAAGCAGGCTTGGTCACCACTGCTATAAATGGAAATGGCTTTGCAAACTCTAGCTTTTCAGAGACTGCGATGGGTTATGGAGCTGGTGACTCAGACAGAAACCTACCCGTGCAGCAGGGAGATGCGGGAGCCAGGGATTGCAGACATTGGCATCTTTAGGCACACTGTATATAAAACCCCAAGACTCATCACTCCTTCAGAGAAAAACATCCTGCCTGAACTGGCTTCAGCTTTTATTAGCATTTAAGTCACGAGAATGCACTGCACTGAGCTCCAAATTATTCTGCAGCAGAAGGCCCTGTCTCCAGGGAGGAGGCTGCTGGTTTTTCATGTCCTTCAATAGCTTATACAGCCTGAGACTGCTCTCCTGGAGCCAGGAGCTCTCTCCCTGCAGGTGGCAGCTCCGGTTTGGCCTGGGCAGGGGTGCCTCACTCATCCATGCTCTGTAGCCTGGTCTGTGCTCAGTTCAGCCTCTCTTGGCAGAGTTTCTCCCGCAAACCATGGAATTCAACTTCTCAGCTGTTTCCAGACTATCAACAACCAGTTCTCCCTGCCCCCTGCTCAGTTCTAGTCCTTACATGACCCACAGAGCTAAAGGATTAAGAGAGGAAGTGGGTAAGATGGGGCATTTTTTTTCCTCTCTCCTATTTGCAAGGTATAGGAAACAAAAACTCCAAAGTTACTGGCAAGAAAGGCCAAAGCCCACAGTTGGAAATACATACTGTAATTCTTGTCAATATAGCAAGCACCCAGTTTTGAGGCTTTTACTTTTTTACATATATATGGTCTAAACAGGACATCACAACTTTCCAAACTGTAAGTAGCTTTTACTATCTATCTTACATTAGTGTTTTTTCCTCCTGAAAGCTAGAAAATAAAAACCAAGTTGCAGAAGGAGTTATGCAAAAAGGAGTCATGAGCATTGTAAGAACACAGATTCCTGTCACAGAGAAAGTCTTCAAAGGTTCTGTGGAAAGACAGAAGGAAGTAAAGGTAATAAATAGTCCAGCATTCTGCTGGCAGATTCAGGGAAAGGAAACCAACACTCACTTAGACTCAAAAACAAGTGTTGAGAGCTGGGGAGATGGCTCAGGGGTTGGTTGAGAGAGCTTGCTGCTCTTCCAGAGGACCCAAGTTCAATTCTGAGCACATACGTTAGGCACTTCATATTACCTGTCACTCTAGTTTCAAAGGATATGATACCCTCTTCTGGTCTCTTGGATGGCATATACTCACACAGGCTCACACATATATACATAATAAACAAAAAAGCAAGTTTTAGCACTTTTGGAATTTAGAATCAAAATGTCTATTCAAAGTTTATGCAAAGTATTGTACAACCAGTGCTTCTGACCAGTTCCTTAAGAAGCTCCCCAAAGGGCTGGGGAGATGGAGGGCCCTTGCCACGAAAGCACGAGGAACCCTAGTACCCACATACAAAAAAAGGCTACCATAGCACAAGCCTATAATGTCAGTTCTGGAGAGGGAGAGACAGGAGATTCTCTGGACCTTACTGGCCAGCCAATCAATGAGAGACACTGTATCAAAATAACATGGGGAGGGATAATGGAAGATATGTCACCAACCCCTGGCAGCCACATGCATGAACATGCATAAGCACACATAACATACATGTCTGTGTATACACACATATACATATCCTCTCTAGTTCTAAAAATAAATATGGAACAGTATGAGATTACTGTGCTTGAAAACAGAAGAGGGGACTAGCAGAGGGGCTGTGAGGAGCAGGGTCTGACCTACACTCACAAGATAAGGACTCCTAGGCAACCAAGCCTGACTAGATAGTTGTAAAACCAAGCAGACCAGCATAGGATGACCAGAAATGCTGCTAAATGGCAGGAGAATTCTGGCTGGCAGACGCATGGGGTAAGCTCACCGAAGACCCTGGCTACAAAGCCCAGTGGGAACTGTGAGGCGAACACGGTGAGAAACCAGGGAGCCGCGTAGAGGCTGGGGCCGATCTCGTGCTCTTCCAGGTGGTTGTAGAGGTCTCTGTGGTAATCATGGAGCAGTCGTGACAGCTGGTACATCTGGATCTGCAGGAACATAGATGCACAGGGTCTGGGAACTATATACCTACTACATGAAGCTATTTACTCATCACATGGAGTGGGAGGGGACTCTTAGCTCTGTTATTGCTCTAACTGGCTTAGGGTGTCCGCTGACTTTAGTGACTAATGCATTCAACCAGAGCTTCCGGGGACAGGCTCACATGAGGTCAGTGGAAGAGGCCAGAGGGAAGAGGCCAGAGTGATGCTGCTGGGTCTGTTTCTACCTCCTTCATTGTCCCCTTGTGTCTCCTGGCTAAGAGACCCTAAATGCCCACCAATGAAAGCATCTCAAAAATTCCCTTACAGATAGATACACATTCTCAGAGAAACGCTAACCAGGGGGAATTTGTAACAAAAAGCTCCTGCTAGGTAGCAGTGAGCCAAGGTCACCTTCATCATGGTTCCAGAGAGTAAGTCCACTGTCTGTGTTCAACAGCCTGTTCCCTCTGGACTCCTAGAATCACTCAATCTAACCAATTTCTATTTTTTGTTGTTGTTGTTTCTCTGAGACAGGATTTCTCCGTATTGCTTTGGAGGCTGTCCTGGAACTCACTCTGTAGACCAGGCTGGCCTCAAACTCACAGAGATCCTCCTGCCTCTGTCTCCCAAGTGCTGGGATTAAAGGCGTGCACCACCAATGCCCGGCTTTCTTTAGGTTTGTAACAAAGAAACATGCAAATTCTGGGCAACTTAAAGCAATAAGTATTTGTCTTCAGATGAATAACTGAGTCTTTCCAAGCTAAAGTTCCACTCTGGTTTCGTGTAGCCTGTGGTTCACACAGGTCCTCAAGCACCGTAGAGCATCTATCTCCCATCTGGGCCTAAAGACTAAATAACCCAGAGAAGGCCAGACTCTGACAAGATGCTCTGGGTTGGATGTGTGCATCTGAAACTGGGAAAACAGAAATACATCTTAGATCACAAGTTTTCTTCAGCACCCACCATAGCTTCTGAATAGAAAAGCCTAATCCTGCTGAAGTGCGAACATGCTCTCAAGAGTATGTGAAATGCCATAAAGTCCACTGTGTTGACAGCTGCCACACATGAAAGACAGTGGAGGGGTGGAGCAGGAGCCTGACTGTGGGGAGTTAGTCTTACAGTAGGTGGCTTCCCTTTGTGAGGTTCATGTTTTACACAAAGTGGACTTTCAATAATACACACTGGTATTTTCAAGCCAAGTCCTCAGCTCTAATGGTACATTCTGAAGCCCCCAAGAACCCTCCCAGAAATAAATGAACGTGTACCCAACAGCGAAGCGATGCTTAGGGACACCTCTAGATCAGGGAGTTCTCCCCCTCGGGAAGGCAGCAAGCATAGTGAGTGCTTGTCCAGCTAGACACCTGCTGGGTTGGCTCCTCTCCATCCCTCTCCTCCTCCCTGTGCCTGGAAGCTGGGACTAGAACCCAGGACTTCACCACACGTTAGGAAAACACTCAACCACTGAGCTACATCCCTAGACTTTCTGTCTGTTTGCTTTTGAGACAGGGCCTCACTATGTAGCTCAGGCTAAACCCATTTGTATAGGCAGGCCAGCTGACAACTTTGAATTCTCCTGCCTTGGTCTCCTAAAAGTGGGGCTTACAGCACCAAGCCCAGCTTGGTTTTCTTTGGATAAACTTGTTCATTCATCAAATACTGACAGGGCCTCTATTCTATTCCAGCTACTGCTGGAAACTAGGGGCACAACTCAACACAATCTTCTCCTCGCGCTAAGGAAATCAGGACACGAGACAGTAGGAAGTAAGTAACTAGGGCAATTTATGGCAGGAAATGTGTTGTCCTGAAGGCATGAGACAAGATAGCATGAAATAATGTGTCCAGGGTGAGGGGACCTTCTGTGATATAGTGCATGACAGTGGAGCTGAACCCTGGGTGACAGGGGGTACGAGGGAGAGATGATCCCAGGCAGAGGACAGAGCAGATCACAGGCTTGGAGGCACTAGTTACATTGCTAAGAAGAGATGAGTTAAGGTCCTGGAGCCAGACAGGCCTGGATTTAAATTCCACCTCTGCCACTGGCTAGCTGTGTGCCATGGACCAACTTCATATTTCTGTCTACAACTGAGCCAGTTAATAGCATCATCCTGAGAGCCATCATGGGAAGCACATAGATCAATGACAAACAGAGTGAGTTATCAGCAGCATCAGTGGAGAAGAATCTAGATCCGCCCAAAGAGGAATGGGGCACACCTTCAGCATCTTTTTATTTATGTCACGGAGATGCTTGGTACCTGTAAAATAATCATGTCTGGCCGATACTGTTTCCGCAGCCCCATGTCAAACATCAGGAACTTGAGCATCTTGAACGCCTCTTCTTCACTCATATGAAGAAGCAAAATGCCTGCCACAAAGCTGAGACCTTGGCAGTATCCTACTTCCTGGTCCAGAAGCGAGTAGGCCTTCAGGATGTTGTAAAGTGACAGCTGCCCTGCTCCGAGCTGGGCAGAGAAGTACGGGTGTGTTGGAAAGGTTCGCCCTGGGAAAAGAACACAGGTCAGCTCTTGCATACAAGAGGCCCATGGACACAGAGAAGCAGCACGCTGCAGGTCAAGGGAACCAGACCTCTAGTCTTAACGCCAGTGTCTTCAGTACCGCTCTCCTCTGAATGTGGTCAGCTGGTGGGTCCTACGATAACATTTGCAGCAAAACCCCAGCAAACTATCAAGTTCTGTGGTTGTCTCTAGTATATTTGTTTTTGAGACTGGGTCTCAGTTTGTAGCTCTGGCTGGCCCGGAACTTGCTGTGTAGACCAGGCTGGCCTCGAACTCAAAGAGAGCAGGCTGGCTTCTCCCTCCCAGGTGCTGGAATTAAAAGTGTGCACCACCATGCCCAGTGAGTGGCGTTAGGTAAAATAAATTACAATTACCTTTAGTCTAGGAAATATCTGTGTCTTAATCAAAAACAAGAAGCAGCTGGTCCCGACAATAGTCTCACTTCTTAAGAACACAGCGTTTTCTAGAAGTCGACCCCTAGCCCGTGTTATTCAAAAGCTGTAACAGATCCTTCCCACAAGCTTTTCCAGACCATGAGTTCTGCCCACAAGTGGGTCTCACCACAGGACTCATCTACACTTTTAAATCATAGGCTGAGATCTGAGACAGGCAAAGGGATAGTAGGCATTTTCCTTTATACAGAACAGTGACCTTCTGGAAAGGAGATTAAAAATGAGTTTTAAAAATCATGATTATTTCCACAAAGTTACTACCAAAATAAAAAAGACATGGCAGTGAGAAGGCTCACCGGGCCTTTTTCTTTCTTTCTTTCTTATTTTTTTTTAAGGGGAGAGGGTTTCAAGACAGGGCTTCTCTGTGTAACATCTCTGACTATCCTGGAACTGGCTCTGTAGACCACGCTGGCCTAGAACTCACAGAAATCCACCTGCCACTGCCTCCCAAATGCTGGAATTAAAGGCGTGTGCCACCACACCCAGCAGTTCGTTGGGTCTTGTCAAGCTGACAATCTGAGTGTGATTCCCCAGGAACCACACGGTAGAAGAAGAAAACTAACTCCTACATGCTGTCCTCTAACCAACATGTGTGCTACAGCACAAATGTGTGCACAGACACAGGCACAGTCAATAAAACTATCATGAAGAAAAGTTTAAAAGGTGGCACTTTTCTCTTTTTTTCTCTTGCCTTTTTTCATTCAGGAAGCTTTTATTGCTGATACCTGCCAAATCCCCCTGTGACATCCTGGTGATAAATGGAGAGTTTCTAAAGAACAGGAAAGTGACTAGAAAGTGCCACATTAAAAAGTTACAGGGGACCAGCATGGGCACAGGCGAGAACCATGGTCTGGCTGGTCATCAAAGGTAGCGAGCGCACCTGGGCCACAGCAGCTGCTAGCCATGGTTGCGGACAGCATCGGCAGGGCAGAGGGTATGCACAGTCACCCTACCGTGACTGTGAGAAGTAAGCAGCCGTGCACACAAATACGCCCCCCATTAATCTGGAGATATGCACCCGTATTTCCACTCCCAGACTTGTCCTCCAGGCTGGGTGAACTTATGAGTGAGGGTTCCTGGAATCTCTAAGCCCTTGTTTCACTGTGCACAGCACTGACTGTGTGGACATAGCAGAATAGGCAAGGCACTTTGTTAAGCTCTACATGCATCTGGCTATGATGCAGGATATAAAGAGAATTTGACACCACCTAGCTGCCATACTGAAAAGTTACAAGTGGGGCCAACAAGATGGCTCAATGGGTACGCATGTCTGCTGACCTAAGGAACCCACACATGGGTGGAAAGGGACAACTGACTTGACAAAGCTGTCCTCAGGTCTCCACACACACACCACGGCAAACCTAGCCACACATACACAACCTGTGCATACACAATACTTTTTAAGTTACAGGTGGAATTAATTTGAATAAGATGTTATGTTTAACATATGCAATATTTTCAACTCAATATGTAACCAATACAAAAACATCAAGGCATTTTGTCTTCTTTTCACGTCGCTGAAGCCCAGCGGGTTCTTTTGGATGACAGCACACCTTCACTCGGGCTTTTCGCATTTCAAGGATTCAACAGCCACTTTCGGCTTCTGTACTGAGTAGGCCAAGAGTATCACCTCCTCAGATTATCAAAGGCAGGTAGGTAGCATCCCCCTCACTGGTTCCCAGGCAGACTGGAGCACGCCCAGCCCGACAGTCCCTCCCAGAGTGAATATTCCTCTTCACTATGAAAAAATACGTATTTACTTATTTACTAGGTGATTCAAAGGTATGCGCATCTTACATGTGACAGTCAGAGGGTAACTTGGAGGAGTCAGTTCTCTCTTCCAACCTTGTAGGCGTGGAGGCCAGCTGAGCCATCTCACCATCCCCCTAGCTGCCATGCTTCCAGCCCCATGCTTCTCAATACAGCCAGAGGATCCTGGGAGTCTGGTTGGAGTTCGTGAGGTCCACCTCCCCTTTTCAACTACAGATCCATATAATGTCAGCCTTTCCTTTGTTTACTTAAGAGAATGTAACTATAACAGGCTAAATAAAGGTAATATGATAATCCCATTGATTCTATTAAGTGTATTATGAAAGAGATTTTAAAAACTATTAACACAATGTCATATTCACCACTGATTTTTCTTTTGGAAAATAGTTGTTTTTCATTGTATATTTACATAGTGAGTTCCTTACAGTTATTTTAAAATAAAAACTTAAGTTTATTTATTTATTTATTCATTCATTCATTCATTTAGATTTTTGAGACAGAGTTTCTCTATAGCTTTGGATATTGTCCTGGAGCTCTCTCTGTAGACTAGGTTGGCCTCCAACTCACAGAGATCTGCCTGCCTCTGCCTCCCGAGTGCTGGGATTAAAGGTGTGTGTCACCAATGCCTGGCAAGCTGAAGTATTTTTAACTTTATCAATTTTCATTTCCAATGTAGCAAATATTAACACCACATTTTCCACATAAGCCAAAGCTTCTTGGACTATTCGATTTTAAGAGAAAGGCATCCTGACCTCCCAAGTTACGCAACACTTGTTCCAGGCAGATGCAGTTCAGCCACCTTCTTGGTGGCAAATCCAGAAAAGAGGGACAGACAGGCTACTGCGAGGAGAATGGACTACTTGGATTAAAAATGTTTCCTGGCAATCCCCTCCTGTGAAGCCAGTGCTAGTGTGGCTGCCCTCCTGTCAGTCAGAGGGCATTAGGGCAGCCCCTGGAAGGAGGGGGAGGCATACCTCACCAGGCCATCAGGCCTCATGGAAGTCACTGATGCAGCGCCTGGGCCTTGTGTGGTGTACGTGCGAGGGCACTGTCAAGCCGGATGTCCCTCACTGCTCACTCAGAGCTGGTGACTCTGGGTAAAACACTGCAGCTGCTTGCTGTTTGTGCAAACTTTGGGAATAATGCAACCCAAGTCTAGGGTCAAGTCTCTCCTGCCACAAGCCTGGCAAAACAACCCTAGGTTTACCGCTGGCTCTGTAGGACCCTGGCAGAGAAGCGTAAGTAGAAACTGAGGAGGCCTTGCACAAATCCATTGGAATAGGAGACCGCCTTCTCTAGTAAACTATGTTAAAATTTACCATGAGAGTTGGTAGAGAATTGCAGGTCCTTCCAATCTCTGCTAAAGGAGACATAGGCTACTTTCATAGACCAAAAGAGATTATTAAACGGAAACTGTCAGACGGGCACAAAGAAACTCCTGTGAGCTGTGGAGATGGCTCAGTGGGTAAGAGCATTTGTTGCACAAACACAGCAAATGGAGTTCAAACCCCCGGAGTCCATGTAAGAAGCTGGAGGTGACCATGAGCATCCTGTAATGCCAGCACTGTGGGTGGGTGGAGACAGGAGGGTTGCTGGGCTTGCTGGCCGCCAGCTTAGCTCCAGGTTCAGAGAGAGACCCCCATGTCAGAGGTGAGCGAGCACGACACCAGATTTGGGCTCTGCGTGTGCCCTCCCAGTCAAATGCTTCCTATAGAGTGCAGCACATCTAGGTGCCCATGAAGGCCCTCTGCAATAGCAGACGGCACTGTCGGAGCTCTGCCCTAAGTGCCTATGTTTCCAGAAGCATCAGAGTGAGCACAACTGCTGTGACTTAACTCCTGGGGGCTCTGCATGCGAGCAGCTGCACCAACATGCCACCCAGGACTTCAGGTTGGTGGTTTAAACCCGGGAATGGTGACACTGAAGACTAAACACCAGAGGTCTTCTGAGGTGTTGGGAGGAGATGGCTGGGAGCAGTTGCTGGCAGGGCACCGACTGACTGGGAGGGCGCGGGACGGAAGGAAGTGACTCTCCACTTTACTATGTCAATTACACTTTGCTTTATCACTGAGAGGTTACGGGACGTCCTGGTTTCTTTTGCTGTTGCTGTGATAAAATACTCTGACAAAAGCAACTTGAGAGAGAGGATCTGAGTTCACAGCTGAGGACAGTCAAGGCATCAGGCACTGGAAGCAGCTGGTCACATTATGTCCAAAGTCGGACACGAGCAGTGAGTGCGTGCATGCTAGAATCTAGCTCGGCTTCTGCTTTTCACAGGAATCCCCTGCCCAGGGAATGTTCTCACTCGCTCACAATTTAGACAGATAGTCATAATCAAGGCACTCTCCCCAGGCATGCCCTGAGACCTGTCTCCCAAGTGATTCCAGATTCTTGTCAAGTTTTAGAATGACCAAAGTGACTGCATGTTGAGATCTTGATAATATCAGAAGCACACACTTTGTCGAATAATTTGAGACGCTGTTGGTGCAGGAATCTATTAGATTCTGGAACTGTGATGTTTAACTGACTTCTGCAGAGTTCAGTCTCATACTGGCTAGTGTGGCCACATGCCAATTTCTGTCTTTTGCCATCAAGGTTCTTACTGTACCTTTCAGTTAGCAATGAAAGCAGAGAAATTCTCAGGGTTGAAGTGGAAAGAGAACTCGTAATAGTACCTAGCCCGACCCTGTGCCTGAGTGACTCTTCTGGGCATGTGCTCTGCCTATCTCCCCCAGCTCAGGCAACCCTGGCACACCTGGCTTTCATGGGGGAAGTGTCTCTAAGAAGTCCATCGACAACATTGCTGAGATCAGAAACAGAGGCACACCTGTCCTGATGCAGTGGGGATGCAGGCAGGGGGACTTTGGGCTTGGACCACATAGTGAGATCCTGACTCGGGAAGAGAACAGCAAAGCTACTGCAGCGAGAGCCTCACGGGGCCCTCAGAGTCTGCACGGTGCCACAACCTAACACACACGGTAACAACCCACAATAACAAGACTACAAGGAGCTGACAGAGAGGGCAGGGGCACTTCCAACTCCTGCGCTGACACAATGACCTTTCTGTATCTCTGGACGGCATTGTGTTCCTCCTCCTAAGTCCTTCCCATCACAGGGAGGCTGCAGAGTCACCCGGTAGAGACAGATAACTGCTGGCAAGCTACGATGGATGCCAAGGAGGATGTCTGGAACCCCTAGCAAGAGTCAGAAGTGAGCAGGAGCCCCAGAGTCTTGGCACTCCATGCTGTCCACCCAGGATGGAGAGCCAGAGGGCAGAGAGGAGAAAGGCTATAGTCCTCAGGAGCCGGGCCAGCGACGGAGCTGGAGCCAGGGTGAAGACACCTAGCACCTGCTAAGGCTGGCAGTAGCTTTCTCCTGGCTGGTTGTGGTCTGTGCTGAAGGGAAGGCAGGGGTAACACGTACGAAGTGGTCAGCAGAGCCAGGACGACAGGCCATGAGGCGCAAAGCCGAAGGAGCTCTGCACAGAACCTGGGAAAGCCCTTCCCCCAGTTCTTGGGCCTCGTGCATCACTTCCACAGTGAGAACTGCACAGCTCACAGGGCTGGCTAAAGATGAAGCCAGGCCACACTCGAAATCCTATCTTATAAACTACAGAACACAGCCTAACCATACGGTCAACTATTTTACTCTTTGAAGGAACAAATCTTGCAAAAAAGCTGTTTGAGCAAAAGGCCAGTTTCATAAAATAAAAGACAGGAAAACAAACCCATGAAAAGCCAGAATACTTCCCATCAATGGTGCTGTGGTGCTTTTTCCCCAGCCACTATAGGAAAGAAATGGGATGTGATGTCACTCTACAGCCCACACCTTTCCTGGGCCCAGAGTCTGCACTGTATATACAAAACACACAGAATAGACAAAACACACAGTGTGGACTGCACGGCAGCTGGAGGTGTGAGGTGAGGCCTGTCATGGCCAGAGCTGGAGGCCTTCCGTGCCAGGTCTACTTTATGACAACTCAGAGCAGAGCTGGAGCTTTGCAGAAGGGCACCCGGACACCACCGCTGGGTCTGGGCCAGCAACCAGGATTTCTGGTTCACACAGGGATAAGAGCTCATGCTGGCAGGGTCCCTGGATAAGTCCTAGGAGCCTGGTGGAGGTAACTTGGGACACAGATTACTGCAAACAGGGGTTCTTCAGGCCCTTGGGAGGATGTCTGGAGGTCATCCAAAGAGAGACCAGGCAAGCACTGAACCAGAGGCGAGGAAAGAGAACCATCAACAGAGTGGGGGATGGGTGCAGCTGGCCTTGGGAGCAGAAGCGAGAGGGTGGGGCTGAGCAGGGGTGGGGAGGATGTGAATCAGGCCTTGTTCTCTAGGGGAGAGGCCACTGAGTTGGGACTCGCACAAACACTACTTCCTAGGGAGAGGCCTGGCTGGTGGGGCCGGGGTGGGGTGCGTGGCCAATCTGGGCTTCACTTTCCTTCTGCAGAAAAGTGATGCCATTCAAGCAGTCTGAGGCGGAGGGCTGACCATACAGACAGGAAGCCAATGGAACAGAATGCAAAACAGGGAGAGAAATCTCTCCCATTTCCTCCCCTCCTCCCAAACTATGGAGGAGTGGAGAAGGAAGGGAGGAAGGAAGGAGGCGATCTACGCAGTCCCTGCCCAGACACTCCTACCCCCACTTTGGTTTTCAGCTCACTTCACATGACAGGAACATGATGTCGCCGTTTCTGTTAATTACCTGCCAATGTACAAACAGCCACCCATCCTCAGGGACACCAGGCCAAATGGGCTTTGGCTGGAGGCCTGCCATGCTTGTCAGCACCACCCTTCACCTGCCCAGCACTGTTCTTCACCTGCCTAGCGTCTCCATAGCAACATGGAGCCTGCTGGGCTTGGCAGTCTTAGGGATGGCGGAATGACAGGGTAGGTCCAGTATCTCTGCTCTGATGACTGTGGGCCTTGATTGCTCAGTGTCTCAGTTTCCTCGTTTCTTAGGATAGAGGGTCAGTTTCCAGAGAGGCTGTGGAAGGTGCGGGCGAGTGCCTCACAATGGACATGGCAGAAAGATACAACAGTTACCTACTCTGTGTTGGATACCATCCCTGGAGTTGAGAGTATACTATAGTGCACCCAAGTGCAGCCCATGGAGGCTGCATCCTACCGAGCAGAACCAGGGGTTCCGAGGAACACACACGGTTCTCATGTCATACTACTTATCAGCAAACTACTTACGAGACCGTCAACAGGCTGATTAGCCTCCCCGTGAACTATCTATGTGTAATGCTGTGAAAGGCGACATTTAAAGCCAGCACTGCCAAGCAGCCTGAAGATCGCTACGGAAACATGAGGTGTGGGCTTGAAACTGACCCCTGCCAGGCCCAGCTCACCTTCTTCATTGTGGCTGTTGCAAGTGAAGTACCCAGAGAACGGGGTCCTGCAGTGCCCTGAGCAAAGGGGAGACCTGGGGGAGGGCCTCACATCCAGAACTGGCATTCTGGGAGCAGGACCATAGGCTCCACTAGCAGCGTATGAGCTACAGCCATGGAGCCAGCTGCCTGCAGCAGAGACAGGCCTTGTGAGCAGAAAAAACAGCGCCCGGCCACCTCACCAACAGTCAGAGGGTGTCCCATGCAATGTAAGTCCGCTGTAAGTTGGCGAGGGCTTCCTCATGGCAATTGCAAAGACATCCAATACACTGCTGCTGCCTTTTTGCATTTTAAAAAGCTATTTCAGAAATAAGGCATTGCTCACTTTCCAACACATAGCGAACACACAGCTTTCTACAATTTTTCTGACAAGGTCTGTTTGTACACCACAGTCTAGAGAATGCTTCTGAATCTAAACCAATTCAGTGTTTCTCCTGTAACTAAACCAGGCCAGTGTGTTTCCCAGGATGCTCCTTCAGTGGCTGTAAATCATCCCTTGGAAATATGAATTATTGAATAAGTCATTATTGTGTCTCAACATCCTTCATGACCACTCACACTTCCCCACACCCCACAAACATGCCAAGCAGGATGCTCTCAGAGGGCATCTGTGACCGCTGTAGGGTTATGAAATGAAAAGTCCCGACACTCAATTGTGACTGCTAACCCTCCGGGCAGATCACTGAATGAGCTGGACACTCTCTCCAGATTTCTCAAGTGTGGAACATCCACGCTTATGTCCCGTGGATAGGCAGACTCACCAAGGTCGATGAGGATGGCGTGCTGCTGTGAGGTCAGTTTCTTCAAGAGTTCTTTGTAGGGCACATCCATTGGCTGCTGTTTACTGGGAAAGGGATGTTTAAGGAGGAACTGCTCAGCTAGAAATTTCCAGATCTCACCCCGGTGATGACGTGGCACACCTTTAACAGAGTGGAAAATGTTAAACTAGACTTTATGCACAGAATTCAGATCATGGACAACAAATGAATCATGTCCTTTTTCACTGCTGCAAATTATCTGTGGTGTACATATATGCAGGGCCATGTGAGTGTGGGTTCACGTGCACAGGGAGGCCAGGAGACAACCTTGGGTGCTGTTTTTCACTTTATTCAGAGACATAGTCACTCACTGGGCTACATTCCCCAACTAGGCTAGACTGCCCAGTGAGCTCCAGAGATCCGCCTATCTCTGCCTCCCAAACACTGGGATTATGATGAGCATGCATGGTCTCTCCCAGCTTTTGACATGGGTTTTGGGAACTGAACTGAGGTCCCCATGCTTTCGAGGCAACACTTTAGCGGCTGTGCCATCCCCCAGTCTCCAGTTAATGAAATTCTTGTTCCATTATGTTCCATCTCCCCCCTCCTCCCTCCCTCCTGCCTCTCAACTTCCCCTCCTCTTGGCCTTGTCCCTCTTGCCCTTCACCTTTCAAAAGCTACATTATGATCTGACCAGGTTATATGTTGCAAAGGACAGACCTGTGAATACGCTGGTAGGAATCCTGATCCCACCCAACCTAAAGCCAACTAACAATGCTCTAAGGAAATGAAAGAAGGATACAAATGTCTCAGAAAAGGAAAAGAATCAAAGCCAGATAGAGCTCAGGTGAAAGAGAGATGGCTCTTTGCTCTCAGCAGCCAAGATCTCACAGCCCCCTTCACGTAAGCCAGACCTTAAAGATGAAGGGAAAGGAAAGAGAACAGTTGGTGATTTCCCCACACCTCGTATATCAACTTGGGAGCAATGTAAAGAAGGCCTAGTTAAGTGACCGCATCCCGTGCAGTCTCTAGAAGTTTATGTTAGCATTAACTTGATGACTCTGAACAGTGAATGAATAGTGGGCTTCTATAAGGATACACCCATTTCCCAACTCCGGGGATCTCGAGTGGCCTTGTTTCTGCATATGTAGCTAAAGTTAGGACTCATGACGCCATCATCATGATTATAACCTGGACTCTGTACCTTGAGACAAGAGTCCCTGACAATAGCACTCAGAGAAGGAGTTGGAAAGAGAAGCCGGTGTGCCCCTGAATGCAGAAGGAGTGTCTGGGTCAAGAAATGGTACAGCCAGCAGAAGCTGGAAAAGCCAGGTCCAGTGGAGCTGACACCTGGACTTGGGACTTCAGAACTGTGAGAGGAAAAGAGTGCATGCGTGCGTGCGTGCGTGCGTGCGTGCGTGTGTGTGTGTATGTGTGTAGGCACATGTAAGTCACCATGCCTGTGTGGCAGTCAGAAGACAATTCTCAAGAGCTGGTTTTCTCTTCCACCCTGAGGAACCCGGACTCTGAACTCAGTTCATCAGGTCTGCATGCACATACCTACCCACTGGATACTCTCACTGACTAACTAGTGCTGTTTTAGTTACCAAGTCTGTAGTTATTTGCTACACCGGCAACAGGAAACTAACAGATCCCAGCAGCAGCTTCCTTACGTCAACGCTATCTTCTTTCTCCTTCTTTACCATTCCTGCTCAGATCTATCTTAGATGTGCGTGCTTGTGTGCACACACACATTCGCCCGGGCACACACAGAGCAAATCTGCAATACTTCAAACTCTGACTAAAGCAAACAGTGAACTAGACCATAGTCAGCATGATGAGTGATTTATAGAGGGGCTTTTTCACCAACTACTTTCTGTCAAACTGGAAATTCTTCCCAAGTTAGGAGATGCCCAGTTTCCTCTTATTACTAAGTCTTTTCCCTTATCTTATCAGGATTGACTGTGGGGAGGAAGAGAAATATGGCCATGTTACCAGAGAGTACCAGACACTCTCATGTTGCAGGGTTAGCCGAGTCTGAGACTGAAAGCAAGAAGTCCCGTAGGCAGACCCAATGCTTTTGTTCACAATGTTCCAGACACCGTCCCCCATGCTGCTTTGCTCTACTCCTAACTCAAGAGGAAACCTGGTCATGGAAGGTCAGCAAGCAGGGAACTCTGGCTAAGCTAGAGGCTGTTCACCCATCTCGTGTGTGAATAACTATCTTCACTAATGTGAAGAGTAAATATATGCTTACTGCTGTTAAGGGAAAAACTCTGGCAATGTAAAGGGAATAAAGACGAAAAGCAAACCTCCACAGTAACTAGAGTGGACACATACTTCCAACATTCGAAAGAGAAAGCTTCAGAACACGGGGAGGAGAAGCCCTGCTGCTTGTTTTATTAGGACAAGAGTTAGTACATGGGGCTGTGCCAAATGACCCAGGAGGCGCATTTACCTGCCTCTCACCTAGGCGTCTGCAAACGCATTTGTGCGAGTTCCTCTATGTAGAGAGCAAGACCATGAGAACTGCCCTTCTCTCACATGGGAACGCCCACTGTGCTGTTTCCCAGGAAGATGCACGGGACGGTCACATGGCTGGGCCACTTTGTTTTGGTTTTAGCTACTAAAAAATAACATAATTAGCATTTTTATTGTAGCAATCTGTGGCTGATTAATTTCCAGTTTCTGGGAATTGCATTGCTGGGTCGAAGGTAAGAGGAGTTTGCATCTGAGCCACTCTGCTGATTGCTTAATGGTCACTTCACAATAACATCCTGAGAGAAACAGCTACTTGCTTCTAGGACTCTGATCTTGTTGTTTTTTAAGAAATCATCTGATGCACACCAAACTTTGAGTTACTTAATATTCTGCGGAATTCTTTCTTTCCCAAGTTGACTCCTTAATCCTGCTACTCCCATCTCATGTTAAGTTGGAAACATCTCTAAGCCCCTACTGGGAGGAAAAGCCTCATCGGTTACACGAGGACTGTCCTCTGTTTCCCAGTCTCCGAGGTGCCTTAGCCTCTGCTTGAAGGGTTGAAGTCATGGTTTTGGTTTAGTATTATTTAAAAAGTCTAAGGTGCAGATGAGCAGTGGCCGTCTGTTTGAAGCTGTTAAGTTCTCGAGTGTTGAAACTAGATGACGGAGCCTCTGACTGTTTACATTCCTTCAGGGAATGACCAAGTCAGAGAAGTCAAAGGGAATTCTAGATCAGCCCTGGCTTACCGAAGTCTATGACGTGTCCTCACAGCCCTGCCCAATTCCACCCCACAGGGTTCAGATGCCCTCAACTTTTCCCCTTCCCCATATGGAATAGGAAATAAATAAATACCCAGGTGCCAGGCCTCTGAGAAGCTCAAGGATTTGGGACAGCTGCCAGAGGACAGGCGGCTGCTTCTGAGGTACCATTTCAGAGCATCGCCTAGTTAACTGTGAGGAGGGAGAGACGGGCACATGCATCTCTGCTTTTTAACTTTTCAAAGCAGCTGATTGCAAGCACTCACCATGAAGGTCACACTGCAGCAGACACGATGGGTGCAAAATCCATCAGTACTACAGGACAGTGTAAGAGTGACAGCTCCGGCCAGGCTTCCCCTGCTGCCAGGCAGGAGGCAGAAACGCAGAAAGGTGAAGACACCTACCCAGGGTCACACTAGAAGCTGTGCAGAACGTGCCTCCAGCCCTATCCCGCATACGCCTGGGACTTGAGAGCAGCACTCTGAGCATGGCTCACCCAGAGGCAGCCTGGCATGGGGGTGAGAACTGCAAGCTGAGGGCCCGAGGCCACCGTCACTCATTGAGCCTGGGGATCTTGGGCTAGCTAGTCAGCCTGCCTAGGGAATCTCCTGTCTCTGTCTCTCGAGTACTGGACTTATGGGTGGTTATCACACGACTGTTTTACATGGTCTCTGGGGATGTGAGCTCCAGACCACACACCTGTACAGAAAGCGTCTTATCCACTGGGTTACCTCTGCAGCACAGAAAAGGTTTTTAAGAATGTCTAAAAGGTATGGAGTGTCAGCGCAGTGGCTAAAGATACTGGCCACTCTTTTAGAGGATCTGGGTTCGATTCCCAGTACTGATATGGTAGCTCACAACTGTATCTATAACTGACACCCTTTTCTGACCTTGTTGGGTATCAAACATGCACTCGATATAAAGACATACATGTAGGCAAAACACCAATACACATAAAAAAATTTTTAAAACTTTATTGAAACACACACACACACACACACACACACACACACCATGATAGAAAAGCTGCTTAGTTCTATCAGCCCTCTTAGCAATGAGTTACACAGACAGGCTGTTTCCCACAGCAGTTACAGTCACAGGAAACCCTGCGATGCATTCATGTTTGCACCCCTCATTGGGATACTGGGTATTCAGAACGAGATGGAGCAGAGCTCAGTAGCGCTAAGCGCACATCACTCTCAGAAGGCGCCCATTCTCACCGATGTTCACCAACATCCACTTCAAGAGAAATCATTATTGTTTACTTGAGCATATACAGTGAGAGAGCGCCAGGGGCAGAGGGAGGGCGACGGCGGAGAAGAAGACTGAGAACAAGGTAAATGACACGCATTCATGAAGATGGGAAACCTATTACTTAGTATGCCAAGCTAATTAGTAACAGCAACAACAAACAAACAAGAGACACGGAATGACAAAGTACAGGCTCACGTGTTTCCTGAGAATTACTGTGACAAATTGCTGGAAACATTTCCAGACGTCACCTCAAGCTCTGTCTCACCTCTTCAGGGACAAAGCAAATTCAGACTGGCAGACAGCAGTGAAAGGCATCCATCCCTCCGCCTTCCAAGCCACCTAGGACAGCAAGCTCACGTGCCGTGCTCCAGGGTTTCAGTTCACTTACTTATTCTCCACGACCACCGTCGCCATCCACATCTTACACATGTACAAACTAAGGCTCTCTCAGAGGACCTGAGTTTGAGGTCCATATCAGGTAAGTGACAACCACTCATAACTGTGCCTCTGATGTCACTGGGCATTCACATGCACAGACTCACACACATACATATAATTAAAAATAAAATAAAATACACTTTTTTTTTCTCCTGAGACGGGGTATCTCTGTGTAGCTTTGGAGCCTATCCTGGCACTCCTTATGTAGACCAGGCTGGCCTCCAACTCATAGAGATCTGCCTGTCTCTGCCTCCCGAGTGCTGGGATTAAGGGTGTGTGCCACCACTGCCAGGTGAAAGACATCTTTTTAAACAAACCCAGATCCCCACCTAGAAGGTGAGTTGAACACTCTGTTGTTTCCCTAGGATGCCCAACCAGCAAGAAACCACAGTTTCTTTTTAGTTTCCTATTTATCATATCACTTATCCAGCTCACAGGCAACTAAGCCTTGGGTTTTCCCGTGTACATATTGGTCCCTGGTTTTCCGGGCATTTTCATTAACGTAATTGAGATCACGAAAGGTGACGGAAACCACACCAATCAATTAGACATCTGGAAACGAGAAGAAAAGGCAAGACTGCCACAAAAATTAGACTTGCAAATATCTTCACCCCACCCGTCTAGTCGTCACAGAGGGTGTGGCTGGTTAGACAATGACGATAACACTTACCTTGCCCAACAGCTGAGTGCATTTTTTCCATGTCAAACTTAATTTTGGATCTTCCTGGAGTACTAAGCATCTTTTCCCACACTGTAGTTACTTCTTTAAGACAAGGAGTGATTTCTTCATAGTCAAGCTTTAGGCGTTTGTTCAGTAAATCATTCTCAGAGGCTGGAAGAGATGAGGGAGGGCCAGTGAGTAGAAGCTCCAGGGCTGCCAGATGCTGTGACCTCACAGCGCCCCTGCTCACCGCTACTGTGATGCCAATAGCACAGGCCAGATTGAGGCGACCTGCTTTCCGCCTTTTAATGCTAACAAGCATCTTCATCCACACACCCTAACTGTGCCCCATCCAGAGACTAAAGGTTGTGTGAGAAAGGCAGCCGAGCAAGCCGGGTGAAGGAAGCCAGTCAGTAACAGGCACTTCTCCACGGCTTCCGCTTCAGTTCCGGCCTCCAGGTTCCTGCCTCCAGCTCCTGCTCTTCTCATTTTCCTGGTGATGGACAGTAAGCTGTAAGTCAAATAAACCCTTTCCTCTCCAAGTTGACTTTTTTTTAGTGTTTCATCACAGCAACAGAAAGCCAACTAGGACAATGTGTAAGTCCTAACAGCACCAGTTGTGTCCCGGGGAAAAACCACAGTCCCAGCTGCCAAGGGTCAACAACACACACAGGCAGATTGAGATGGTGGGGTTAACTTCTCTCCAGGATGGAAGGCTCCTGGAGTATAATTACTACTGGATCACATACTCAAAAAGCAGAAAGCTGGCTCAGCCAGAGAAAGCTTTTGTCATGTATGCTCCTCTATTTTCCTTTCCAAAGGGCAAGCCAGCTTGGACTCTGGTCAATTTCAGGAGCCACGCACACCTGCAACTTCAACTTCTTTTGAGAAGTGTATGAAAAGATAGGAGAAACAGGAGGGGAGAAGCGGAGACGGGAGAAGAACATGAGGGATCAGCAAGGTCGAGTTGGGGAGAGAACAGAGGAGGAGAACAAGAAAATAGATCCCTTAATAGAGGGAGCCATTATGTGTTTAACGAGAAACTGGGCACTAGGGAAATGTCCAGGGATCCACAAGGCTGACCCCAACTAAGAATCTAAGCATTAGTGGAGAGGCTACCTTAATGGCCCTTTTCCTATAAAGAGATTGATGACTCATTAAATGCCATCCTAGAGCCTTCATCTAGTAACTGATGAAAGCAGAAGCAGAGATCCACAGCTGAGCACTGAGCTGAACTCCTGGAATCCAGTTGTAGAGAGGGAGGAGGTATGATCAAAGGGGTCAAGACCATGCTGGGGAAACCCACAGAAACAGCTGACCTGAGCAAGGGGGAGCTCATGGACCCCAACCAGACATCTGAGGAACCAGCATAGGACTGAACCAAGTTCCTGAACGTGGGTGTCAGTTGGGAGGCCTGGAAAGTCTATGGGGCCTCTGGCAGTGGAACCAGTGCACGAATGGACTTTGGGAGCCCATTCCCCGTGGAGGAATACTCTCTCAGCCTAGGCCCTGCCCCAAATGATGCGACAGACTTTGATGATCCCCCATGGGGAATGAGAGGACAAGAGGAAGATGGACCTGGGATTGGCATATAAAATAAAATTGTTTTTAATTTAAATAAAAATTAATAAAAAGAGTATGAAAAAAGAAAATGAAAGAATGGTTCCATGTACACAGTGCACCCTCTGATTGGTTCCTGTCTGATCTAGCTTCTGTATGTAATGAGAAAGTTCTGCCCACCCAACTCACATCAACGTGCTACTGTTGATTATTTCTCAGTAACATAGATTAATGCTTCCTATATTAAATTTAGCAAGTTGATTACATTTTGATCATAAGATTAACACATCCTGAGATGTACAGATGTAGGACAAATGACAAATGACCTCAAGCAGTAACGCTCCAAGACCACCAGAATAAACACTGACAACAAGCCTGCTAAAGCAGCCAGTGGGCACAACACAGCCCTTGGCAACGTGACCAAGGCAACCCGGCGTACACTCAGCTGCTCATGCTGATCTGTCTAGTCATCCCTGGCAACACAGCAGGCACTTTGTTTTTGGGGTACACTGATTCTACTTCACCAATTATAGTCATAACTTGTAATATTCCCAAGAGCAGCCAGTCTCATGCTCCTTCTGTAAGTATACCTCTGTTTTCATTTTACCTGGCCACCTCCAAGACTGGATGGAAAGCACTAAGCATTAGGACCCGAATCGTGAGCCTTACTGCCTTTTCCATTTTCAACAAAGATCTCCAAATACATAACCATTACTTACCTGATGCTACACTTTGTAATGCTATGACCACAAGATGTTTTCATTTATTACTACTGTCAGGACCCCCTAGCCTCTATCTGTGTGTGTGTGTGTGTGTGTGTGTGTGTGTGTGTGTGTGTGTGTGTGTGTGTGTGTGTGTGTGTGTGTGAAGCTATAATATACACACAAAGGGCTCATAAGGTAAAACAAAAAAAACCATTAAAAATAAAAATAAATTCCCTGACTAAAGTGAGAAGCTTCCTTCTGCAGTAGATGAGAACGAACACAGAGATCCATAGAAAGTGAGAGAGCTTAGACACTCACTTCTAGACAGGATGCCTCCATCAATCCCTTCCTCTCAGGGAACCTTACTGAAGAGGCAGCAGACAGATGGTAAAAGCCAGAGGGGAAGAGAAACACCAAGGAAACAAGGCCGTCTAAACATATCAGGACTGCAATAGGCTGTCAGAGCCTGTGGGCCTGCATGGTCACTGCCAGATGGGTCCGGTGATGAGAGGAGAAGTGGACAAGAGCCCCCATCCCTAACCCAGGAGCTGTGTCTAATTGATAACCACCCACTAAGGAAAAATTGGTTTTCTCCAATGGCGTCTCACCGGGGATAGAAACCACGTTTAAGGGCAGGGCCCATGCCCAGTAGTAGATGGGCCACACAAAAAGAACTCAGGGCTATCTTTGGATGTTCTCTGCCTTAACAAATGTTTCTTAGATGCCTGCTTTTAGAATTACCTTCAAAAGTACACAAGAATAAAGTAGGAAAAAGCTTAATACTGACCTGTCAAACACTGCCCTTCCTATACCCCAACTGCTCATAACACCGTGACAGAACAACCTACTCCCAACTTCGATACTCTCTGGAAGGGCGCACTGGCTTCATTTCTAAGCATTTGTTGGACTACGGTCACATCGGAAGGTTCTATTCCTTCAGTTGACTGCTTTCTGACCAAAAGTAGCATCTGTCACTTTACATTTCATCAGTTTGCACCTTCTCAGCTGTGGTCCTTGTATCTGGCGCTGTTGTAACTCACAGACACCTGGTCATGACAAGGACAGCAGTCTCACTGGTCATGACAGGGACAGCAGTCTCACTGGTCATGACAAGGACAGCAATCTCACTGGTCATGACAAGGACAGCAGTCTCACTGGTCATGACAAGGACAGCATGACAGGGACAGCAATCTCACTGGTCATGACAAGGACAGCAATCTCATTGGTCATGACAAGGACAGCAGTCTCACTGGTCATGACAGGGACAGCAATCCCACTGGTCATGACAAGGACAGCAGTCTCACTGGTCATGACAGGGACAGCAGTCTCACTGAGACACTAGCAAAGAAGAGCAACAGAGAGTTCTAACCAGCAGGGCCTCATGGGACACAACACATTCTGAGAGCTTATTCATATGAGCTTGGTGTCTTAATTACTTTCAGCTCCATTCAAACTTCAGGGTTCTTATTAAAACACAAAAAAGCCTATGACCAAAGATGATGCTCAATGTAACACACTAACTTGGAAACTGTCTTAAGCAATGTCACCATGAGTGAACCTCCTGCCAAAGGAGTGTTTAAATCCCACTGAAAATCTTTAGGACTTCAAATCCAGGTGGCGTTTTATACCCTAGAACCCACTTGCTTCCCATAGGGGACACATATGTAGATGCATAAGCTACTCTGAAAATGGCATCTATGGATTCAAGTCTTGAAATGAAACAAGAAACAAACACAATCTAAACTTCCTAAATTCCTGTCATATTTTGATAATGTTGGTCTAGTGGGATAATCTTTTTGTACACTGTGAAGATCTCTGCCAAGGCACCTTCTGATTGGTTAAGTAAAAAGCCAAAGGGCCAATTGTTAGGCAGGAGAAGATAGGCATGGCTTCTGGGAAGAGATAGGAACTCTGGGAAGAAGAGAGGTGGGATCACCAGCAAGACCCAAAGGGAGTCCACATACAGTGTAGAGGAGAGATAATGAGCCATGTAGCAGAATGTAGATGAATATAAACTGGTTAATTTACGTTATAAGAGCTAATTGGGAACAAGCCTAGCTAAGTCCAAGCCTTTATACTTTTATACTTAATAAGAAGTCTCTGTCATTATTTGGGAGCTGGTGGTCCACAGAAAGTCCACCTACAGTTGGTATCCATACATTTTTTCCCTCAGGAACTCACTAAACAGCCACACAAAATGAAGTTATATGCTTTAAAGATTTACATAGGATACATAAGATCAATATTATGACTGGGGATAAAAAAAAAAGGAAAAAATAAACTTACAAGCCACCACAAAACTGCCATCACAACAAAACAGACCAACCAATACAAACCCCCTTCTGAGGGTTAGAGATTAAATGGTGCCTGTATTTCAGAAGTTATAGACATGGTGTTTATGACACAACACTGGAATACATAACTTAATAAGAATCCCTTTAAATGTCTGGAAAGTAGGTGCCGTCAATACTACTTTGAAAAAATAAACAGACATGGCAAGCATCCATGTATGCTAGACCACCTTGATTGGTGTTTTTAAGACTGTATCCTGTGTGCAAGGATCAACTAAAAGCATCAGTTCTGATCAGCTTCAACCTCCAAACCAACCTTGCAGCTTCTGATTCTCCTTCTCCATCCTGAGCAGCAGTATCTGCTGCAGAATAGCCTTTTTCCACAGCTCTCGAAGCTCTCGTGGTGTCTTCTTCTTTTCTTCTGGTACAGGGCCAAACGGTCCATCTTCACACACTGGCTCTAATGGGGACCGTGGGGGGAGCTCTCCCAGCTCTGAATAATCTGGAAATGAAAAAGGACAATGCAGGGTGGCGATTCTTTCTTCTAAATTTTCTTCATCTCTGTCTCTCTCTCACAGAGAGAGTGCATGCACGTATGTGTGCGACACAACTTTGTGACTGGTTCTCTCCTTCCACCTATCTGTAGGTCCCTGGGACTGAACTCGGGTCACTGGGTTCACAGTAAGCACCTTTACCCACACTGTCATCCCACCAGCTCCAGAACAGTCTGTTTTTCAACAACAAAAAGTATGTATACAAATGCTTCACCAACTCAGAAGTTTCTGCTCATTATTTAAGACACAACATCACCAGATGCAAAATTTATGTTTAGGGGCCAACAAGATGGCTCAGCAGGTAAAGGTATTTGTCACTAAGGTTGGCAACCTGAGTTTGCTCCTGGACCTTCACACACATGAATGAAAGATCTGACCCCCAAAAGTTGTCCTTTGACCGTCAGTGAGTGCTGTGGTATATGCATACTTGCCCCCTCCACCCCCACATACACAAACAGATAAATGCAATTTAAAATTATGTCTTAATATTCACAATAAGTTACATATGAGTCACAAACATGAAATAAATGAGACATTAAATAGGAAGCAAGGGTTGGAGTAGTTTGGGACACTTAGGGTTTAAGATTAAATAACCTTTTAGTGACAATCATATAGTTGTTACTATGTTTCTACAGTCACTTAATTTAATACAACCCCCCTAAGAAACTTGCATTTAATTTTATAAAATATCTAGCTTTACACTTTAAAAAGTCCTGATAACAACAAACAAACAAGGTATAGGTCTTTGAGAGACTTGCCTGCTGTCAGACAGCTAGGCAGTAGGGGAACCAGCATGGGAACACAGCAGCCTGCTTACACAAGCACCCTGTCACACCATTAGCTATTCTGTGGGAGTTAAATGTCCTTGAGAGACAATGTGAACCAAGATAATTAATAGATCCCCCATCAAGCACAGGACACTGTACTGGGCATTCATACAGGTAGTCACTTATTTGGACAATTCTAGAAGACACACATGGCCTGAAGAGAAAACTAAAGTCAGAAAGGCCAACTGACTAAGCAAGCAGCTGTGCAGCGATTCCACTGTCTGCCTGGCTCAGGACAGTGATCACCACTGGAAGCAACTTCAACGCCAACGTTCCCACGCCAGTTTCTAAATTCCCACGTTTTTTAACTCCACCCATTTCATGAATCTCCATGTTCCTGTTACACATGACACTGTAACTCTTAAATACCTTACAGGAATGAACAGACAATGTCCCACCTGCTCCGTGACTAGCACTAAAAGGCAGCTGAGGTCTTGCACAACTGGGTTCCACACGACAAGCAGCACTCTCAGGGGCTTGTGTGCCCTGAACTTAGTGAACATGGGTCTTAACATCTGCAATTGGAACAACCTTCACAGGCAGCTGGGCCTCAGAACCACCCAAACAGACTCTGTTCAGATTCGCAGCTCCAACACAATCCTGTGTTCTCATTTCCCTAGCAGTTACCTGCCTTTCCTAAACTCGAATCTCTTTCTGAGATCCTTGAGCATACATAGAAGCACAAAATGCTTGATTTCTTCTAATAACCTGCCCATCTGAACGAAGAATACTGGGTTGTAGCTGGCCCAGAACAAGGAATTCTACTAGTGGTTGAGGTTGCTGGGTCTTAGGTTCCATGTAGCTTCTCACTGGAGTCATCTACAGAGGCTATCAAGTACTACCTTGGACTTCACTTTTCCACAAAACTGGATCTGCAAGATTGCAAGCACTGCTTTGTAGTGAGGATGATGCCAGTTTAAGACATAAATCCCTTCCTAATGTTCTCTGCTTTTTCCTATTTGGTGCAATTTGTTGTGTGAAACAAACAAGCTTGTCCATTTTCATAAAAGCCTTATGAAAGACTTCAAACTGTAGCCAATCAGAAGAGATGGGGAGGACAGCATCAAAGGGCAAATGTACCAACAAGAGGACACTGTAATTCTAACATCTATGTACCAAACACAAGGACACCAAGTCAATAAGAGAAACACTACTACAGCTTAAATCATATATTAAGTCACACTCACAGATAGTGGTAGCCTTCAATATCCTACTCTCACTAATAGACAAGTCAAATAGAGAAATACTGGACCTAACTAATACTACAATCCAAATGGACCCACCACATTTACAGAACATTTCACCCAAACACAAAAGAATATACCTTCTCCTCAGTAACTCAAGGAACTTTCTTCAAAACTGAACAAATGCTCTGATACAAAGCAAGTCTCAACAGATATGAGAAAATTGACATAACACCCTGCATCCTGTCTGACCGCAATGGATTAAAGCAGGATTTCAACAACAGAAAGCCCACAAACTCATAGAAACAAAACAACTCTCTACTGAATAAAAACTGGGTCAGGACAGAAATTAAGAAAGAAATTAAAACCTTTCTAAAACTGAGTGAAAATGAATACACAGCATACCCAAGCTCATGAGACACAATGAAGGCAGTTCTAAGAGGCAAGTGCATAGCACTGCTATGTTAAAAAAAAATGGAGAGATCTCAACAGCATACCTGAAAGATCTAGAACAGAGAGAAGAAATCAAACACAAGAGGAGTAGATGGCAAGAAACAAACTCAGAGCTGACATCAATAAAATAGAAACAGTAACAACAAAACAGTACAAAGATTCAATGAAGCAAAGAGCTGGTTCTTTGAGAAAAATCAGTAATATTGAGAAACACTTATTCAAATTAACTAAAAAACACAGAAAGAAGATCCAAATTAACAAAACTAGAGGTGAAAGGGGCATATCAACAGACACTGAAGAAATTCAGAGAATTGTAAGGACACACTTTTAAAAAGTTGTACTCCATCAAATTGGAAAATCTAAAAGAAATGGGTAGTTTTCTTGATAAGCACCACTTACCAAAGTTAGATCAAGATTCGATAATCAATTTAACAAAAAACCCAATTTAAAAAACAGAGCTATACCCCCTAGTGAAATAGTTATTAAAGTCTCCCAATCAAAAAAAGTCCAGAACCAGATGGTTTTAACACAGGATTCCACCAGATTTTTCAAAGAAGAGTTAATGCCAATACTTCTCAAATTATTCCACAAAGTGGAAACAGATGGAGCATTGCACAATTTGTTTTATGAGGCCACAGTTACCCTGATACCCAAACCACATAAAGACCCAACAAAGAAAGAGAATTGCAGATCAATTTCCCTTAGGAAAGTAGATGCAAATATTCTCAATAAAACATTTGTAAACCTAATTCAGTAACACATAAAAAACGTCATCCACCATTATCAGGTAGGTGTCACCTCAGAGATACAGAAATAATTCAACATATATAAATTGATAAATGTAATCCTCCATATAAACAAACTGAAAGACAAAACCACATCATCATCTGATTAGATGCAGAAAAGGCCTTTGACAAAATCCAACACTCCTTTCATGAGAAAAGTCCTGGAGAGATCAGGGATATAAGGGACACATCTCAACCTAATAAACACAGCTTACAGCAAGCCTATAGTCAACATCAACTCAGCATGGGCAAAGCAGCAGAGAGAATCAGAAGGCACACCTAGTTCTACCCAGAGCAGAGGAAGAAGAGAGTGCACACAGATTGTGAGAAACAGGGCAAGGAGGAGAGCTGCAGGCCACCCGCTAAGGAAGACCCCTACCCTGAAGCCCACGCAGGGAAGAAGTGAAATGACGGCGAGCCACAACCATGCCACACAGTCACAAAGCAGGGACGACTGGGTTAGCTGACGGACACCCACAGTAGGCTCTCAGCTTTGATCCACAAGGAGTTGTGGAAGGACATCAGACCAGACAGCATCATTATTTACACTGCTGGTGTCCGGGACTGCTCAAGCTTCCTCTCCCTGGAGCTCCCTTCAACAGCGCGTGGCTCCCAGCGGGTGAAATGTAAGTTCAGCCCCCAGAACTGCTTCTCAGAGCATGTCCTTAGCAGCATCAACAAGAGGCAACCCTGACAGCTGTGAGAAATGCAGTCTTGGCCCAACCACCCAGGCCTGATAAATCATAAATCATAAACTACAGGGTAGACCCAGTGAACTAGGCTTACACAACTGGGAATTCTAGTCATATACATATTTGGAAGCCCTGGATATGGGCATTTAGCATGTTTACTGCTGCTAAATTTTCATATATTTGGATTAACTGGTGGCATCATACCATGTGACAATGTAAGAGAGACAACAGGCATGTCTTGTATTTATTTTATATTTTATAGTGCTGGGGGATTTTTTTTTTTTTGAGACAGGGTTTCTCTGTATAGCTTTGGATGACCTAGAACTTGCTTTGTAGACCAGGCTGGCCTTGAACTCACAGAGATCTGCCTGCCTCTACCTCCCAATTGCTGGGACTAAAGAGGTTGTGCCCGGCCAGTGCTAGGGAATCTTAACAAAGGCTCCATGAACACTTGGTAAGTATTCTACCATTGAGATAACCCTTAGTCCCAGGGGCACCTTTAAACAAACTTCAAATTAAACAATGACTCTAGCCATCATGTGCACCCTGGCCACTAAATAAAGTTCAAAAACACATCTGTCTTTTCAAACACTGGCCAAATCACATTATCTTAGTCAAAAGCAATTGTCTGAACTAAAATTAATAATGTTTTCTTAAGAAATATATTCAGAAAGGGGTGGGTCCCTCTCTTCTGACCCTGTTCCATCACCCACACAAATCGAGCAACAATAAATTTCCTTCCAAAAAAACACAGATCTGAATATAAATAGTCAGGGACAGAGACTGGTGAGTCACTCAGTCCAACAGAAAAATATACTACTCGATTTCCCAACCCACGCTGTTTAGCCAACTGCATGGAAGCACCGCTCCCCTCCCCCACCTGCTGAGCCCCTCTTCCCAGCTCTGGCCTCTGTAAACCAGGATGCTCCTGGACCACACTCTGCCAGGAAAGGTGTGGTCAGAAGTCCAGGGTCTCTCTGCTGCAGTTTCTACTGAGGCGTGGTGAA